AGGGAAGATGGTCCAAAAACCATTCCCGAGCAACCGTGACAAGCGCACCTACAACACCTTCGAGATGCTCCACTTCGACATCTGCGGACCCATGGAAGAAAAATCTCTGGGTGGCAGCAAGTATCTGCTGCTGATCGTGGATGAAGCCAGCGGATGCATGAAGGGTTTTTGTCTGCATTCCAAGTCAGAGAGCGAAGAGTGCATCAAGAAGTACATCACGATGATACAGACGCAGTTCAACAAGAAGGTCAAGTTTGTGCGACACGATGGTGTTGAAAAGACAGCGGCTGTAAAGAAGACACCTCGTCAAGCTGCGTCAAGTGTTGAAGCAAGTGGAAGACCAAGCCTCGCTATACCGGTGGGTACCGGTATGTACCAGTAAGGGCGAAGTCAGGAAATGACGTCACTGGATGACGTCATTGCATGACGTCAGTGGGTGACGTCAGTGGGTGACGTCACTGGATGACGTCACTGCGAATAATAGGCTTAGAGGTAGTATTCAAAGTTGCGAACTAAGTACCTATTATAAATATATATTCACTTTGCGTTTTGCACTCGGACCAAGAAGTCTAAAGTTCATCAGGTTATGAGCCCAAATTCGTCAGACTCTGAAACCGCCAACAATTCAAGCTTAGCTGCCATGGACGCCTCCTCCCTCCGCATCTCCAAGTTCGATGGAACTAACTTCCACGCCTGGAAGTTCAAGATGCAGATGGTGCTGGAGGAACGGGACCTATGGGAGGTCGTCAGCGGTGAGATCAAGGCGGAACAGTGCGAGACTCAGTTGGACCAAGCGACGTACAAGAGGAAGTCAAGAAAGGCGATGGCAGTGATCTGTCTAGCCATGGAAGATTCCCAGCTACCGTTGGTCCGGTCGGCAAGTGGTGCATGCGACGCATGGTCAAGGTTGGAAGACCACTTCGAGAAGAAGAGTCTTGCCAACAAGCTGTTCTTGCGCCGTCGCTTCTTCACGACAATGATGGAAGAAGGCGACGATGTGCTCGAACACATCAACAAGCTCAAGACGCTGGCGGAACAGCTAGAAGCGGTGGGGGCTCCAGTCTGCGAGGACGATCTGGTGATCACACTCCTCGGCAGCCTGAGTGACTCGTATCAATTCTTGATCACAGCTTTGGAGTCGCGCTCAGACACTCTTAGCTGGGAGCTCGTGACGTCTCGACTGCTTCATGAAGAAATGAAGCGGAAGGAGCAAGGAAGTAAAGGTGATGAAGCTTCGCAAGGTCAAGCGTTCATCACAAGGGACAATCAGCGCAAAGGGCGACCAGTGAAGAAGTCCTGGCCGTGCCACAATTGCGGAAAGATTGGTCACTGGATGGCGGAGTGCCCCTCGCGCATCCAAGAAAACACGGAAAGACACCGGCCACAGCGTGCTCAAGACAGCGGCGACCGCTATCGATCACAACGTGCAAACGTCGCTCAAGAAGAAGACTCGGGCGACTACCTCTTTTCGATCGGTGAAACGACATCTGCGAAATCGAGCGACATCTGGCTGGTCGACTCCGGGGCGACGCAGCACATGACGTGCTCCAAGAAGTTCATGCGGAACTACAAGGGGTTTGACGCTGTGGATGTCCATCTCGCGGATGATGGAATCGTCCAAGCAATCGGCAGTGGGGACATTGTCATGTCGATGAAGACACCCCAAGGGATGAAGAAAGGTGTGCTCACAAACGTGTGGCACATCCCAAAGTTATCCAGAAACCTGTTCTCGGTCGGCCGCTTCACCAAGGATGTCGGCCCAGTGACGTTCACGAAGGATGGGTGCTATGGAGAAGCGAAAGGGACCAAGTGGAAAATTGGTGCCCGTGAAGGTAAAGGACTGTTCAAGCTGCAAATGACTCCAGTGGCGCCGGAACAAGCAAATGCAGCCAAGTCGTCGGGATGTCAAGGGGGCACCAAGTCGTACCTCTGGCACCTTCGGCTTGGCCACATAGGTCACGATGGACTCAATTGCATCGTGACGAAGAACATTGGAATTGGCATCGACATATCTTCGGTGAAGAAGTGGGACGTGTGTGAAGGTTGTGCTCTGGGAAAACAGACTCGAGTGCGCTTCCAATCAAACACTACAGCTCGCACCTCCAAACTCCTCGAAGTGATTCACAGCGACGTATGCGGACCGATGTCGATGGCAACTTTCAGTGGAAAACGGTACTTCGTGACATTCATTGATGACAAGTCAAGATACTGTGTCGTCTATCTGCTCAAGAGCAAATCTGAAGTTGCGGCGAAGTTCATGGAATACGCTGCGATGGCCGAAACGCAAACCGGAAAGCGCGTGAAGTACCTTCAAAGCGACAATGGGGGTGAATACAAGTCCGACAAGCTGGCACGATTCTGCGCGGAACGGGGAATACAACAAAGGTTCACACCCCCATATACTCCTCAGCTAAACGGAGTAGCTGAGAGAATGAATCGCACGCTGGTCGAGTGTGCGCGTTGCATGATGGAACACGCTGGACTGGGAAAGAGCTACTGGGGTGAAGCAGTGATGACGGCGATGTTTCTTCGAAACCGCTGTCCAACACGTGCCATTCACCAAGACAAGTCTCCATATCAAGTGTGGACGATGAAGAAACCGATTCTGGCCAACCTTAAAGTGTTTGGATGCCACGCGTATGTTCAAGTGCCTCAAGACAAACGCGCGAAGTTCGACTCCAAGTCATCACTCTGTCGTTTCCTGGGATACGCCGAACACCAGAAGTCATATCGATTTGAGGAAGTGTCAACAGGAGCGATCAAGATCAGTCGCGATGCCACATTCATGGAAGACAAGTTTGATGAAGGTCCGCGCAACTACAACGATGAGTCAAGTGTCGTTGAGTTTGATGATCATGATGAGGATGAAGAAAAAGAAGAAGGTAAAACTGACGACGACATGGACTCGAGCGACGATGACAACGAAGACACCAGGTCTTCGAAGAGCAACATCAAGAGACACACGCGCACTCAATCACTTGAGAAAGCTACCGTCATTCCAAGTCCCAAGCGAAGAACATACAGAGGTCCGTCGCTTGAGCATGTGTCAGCGGCTGCAATGGATTTTGAAGCAGCCTACATCGTTGATTCAGTGGGGGAAACGCCGACTACATTCAAGTCGGCGATGGAATCAAGCGACTCCGGCAAGTGGAAAGAAGCGTGTGACTCGGAGTTCGACTCGCTTCAGAGAAACGACACGTGGGAAATCGTGCCTCTTCCGAAAGGTCGCAAGGCCATCGGGTGCCGATGGGTTTTTCGTGTAAAGGAGAATCAAGATGGCGAAGTTGAACGTTTCAAGGCAAGACTTGTGGCCAAAGGATTCTCACAGAAATTCGGAGTTGACTATGAAGAAACTTTCGCACCGGTGGCCAAGTTCACATCGATTCGTGTGGTGCTCAGTATGGCGGCTAAGTACGGCCTGATGCTACATCAGATGGACGTCAAGACAGCGTTTCTTAACGGCTCCCTCAACGAAGACATCTACATGGACCAGCCGGACGGATACCTGGATGCAACACAGCCGGACTATGTGTGCAAGCTAAAGAGATCACTCTACGGCTTGAAGCAATCGCCTCGCATGTGGAACCAAACAATCGATGGGTTCATGATCAAGATGGGATTCAAGAAGTGCGAATCGGACCACTGCATCTACATCAAGCGAGACGACCAAGACATGATTCTCGTGGTACTCTACGTCGATGATCTCATCCTGGCCAGCAGCAACAACGAACTCCTCAAGTCAACCAAGATGGCGCTGAGCAAACGCTTCGAAATGACGGATCTCGGTGAGCTCGATTACTTTCTCGGCATGGAGATCAAGAACGACCGTAAGACGGGAATGGTGACTGTACAACAAACCAAGTTTCTCAAGTCCGTGTTAACCAAGTTCGGAATGGATAACAGCAAGCACGAAGACACCATGTGCAACGTGCCATATCGAAGTGCTGTCGGAGGCATCATGTATCTCATGGTCGCCACACGTCCGGATCTAGCTGCTGCAGTGGGATCATTATCCCAGTTCTCGTCCGACCCATGCCCGACTCACTGGCAAGCTTTGAAGCGTGTGCTGAGATACCTGCAAGCAACGCCCAATCATGGTCTTGAGTTTACACGTGAAGAAGGAAGCCGTATCTGCGGGTACACCGACGCAGACTGGGCCGGCGACATTGAGTCAAGACGAAGTACAAGCGGCTATGTGTTCATGATGAGCGGAGGATGCATCAGCTGGAAAAGACAGAAACAACGGACGGTCGCGTTATCTTCAACAAAAGCAGAATACATGGCGCTTTCCGAAGCAACCAAAGAAGCAGTATGGCTCAAAGTGCTTTTGGGGAACTTGGTGAGATGACAAGCGACGAAGCGATCAAGATGTATGAAGACAACCAAGGATCAATCGCTCTCGCCAAGAACCCGGAGTTCCATAAGAGAACAAAACACATCGACATACGCTACCATTTTGTGCGTGAGAAGGTGGAATCAGGTGAAGTCGTTTTGGAGTATTGCCCGACTCAAGATATGCTGGCAGACATGATGACCAAGCCGATCGCCGCTGTACAATTTGAAAACATTCGCGATCGACTTGGGATCCAAGGTGCCGCAGCTAACGAGTCGAGAGGGAGTGTTGAAAAGACAGCGGCTGTGAAGAAGACACCTCGTCAAGCTGCGTCAAGTGTTGAAGCAAGTGGAAGACCAAGCTTCGCTATACCGGTGGGTACCGGTATGTACCAGTAAGGGCGAAGTCAGGAAATGACGTCACTGGATGACGTCATTGCATGACGTCAGTGGGTGACGTCAGTGGGTGACGTCACTGGATGACGTCACTGCGAATAATAGGCTTAGAGGTAGTATTCAAAGTTGCGAACTAAGTACCTATTATAAATATATATTCACTTTGCGTTTTGCACTCGGACCAAGAAGTCTAAGTTCATCATAAAGTTCATCAGGTTATGAGCCCAAGTTCGTCAGACTCTGAAACCGCCAACAATTCAAGCTTAGCTGCCATGGACGCCTCCTCCCTCCGCATCTCCAAGTTCGATGGAACTAACTTCCACGCCTGGAAGTTCAAGATGCAGATGGTGCTGGAGGAACGGGACCTATGGGAGGTCGTCAGCGGTGAGATCAAGGCGGAACAGTGCGAGACTCAGTTGGACCAAGCTACGTACAAGAGGAAGTCAAGAAAGGCGATGGCAGTGATCTGTCTAGCCATGGAAGATTCCCAGCTACCGTTGGTCCGGTCGGCAAGTGGTGCATGCGACGCATGGTCAAGGTTGGAAGACCACTTCGAGAAGAAGAGTCTTGCCAACAAGCTGTTCTTGCGCCGTCGCTTCTTCACGACAATGATGGAAGAAGGCGACGATGTGCTCGAACACATCAACAAGCTCAAGACGCTGGCGGAACAGCTAGAAGCGGTGGGGGCTCCAGTCTGCGAGGACGATCTGGTGATCACACTCCTCGGCAGCCTGAGTGACTCGTATCAATTCTTGATCACAGCTTTGGAGTCGCGCTCAGACACTCTTAGCTGGGAGCTCGTGACGTCTCGACTGCTTCATGAAGAAATGAAGCGGAAGGAGCAAGGAAGTAAAGGTGATGAAGCTTCGCAAGGTCAAGCGTTCATCACAAGGGACAATCAGCGCAAAGGGCGACCAGTGAAGAAGTCCTGGCCGTGCCACAATTGCGGAAAGATTGGTCACTGGATGGCGGAGTGCCCCTCGCGCATCCAAGAAAACACGGAGAGACACCGGCCACAGCGTGCTCAAGACAGCGGCGACCGCTATCGATCACAACGTGCAAACGTCGCTCAAGAAGAAGACTCGGGCGACTACCTCTTTTCGATCGGTGAAACGACATCTGCGAAATCGAGCGACATCTGGCTGGTCGACTCCGGGGCGACGCAGCACATGACGTGCTCCAAGAAGTTCATGCGGAACTACAAGGGGTTTGACGCTGTGGATGTCCATCTCGCGGATGATGGAATCGTCCAAGCAATCGGCAGTGGGGACATTGTCATGTCGATGAAGACACCCCAAGGGATGAAGAAAGGTGTGCTCACAAACGTGTGGCACATCCCAAAGTTATCCAGAAACCTGTTCTCGGTCGGCCGCTTCACCAAGGATGTCGGCCCAGTGACGTTCACGAAGGATGGGTGCTATGGAGAAGCGAAAGGGACCAAGTGGAAAATTGGTGCCCGTGAAGGTAAAGGACTGTTCAAGCTGCAAATGACTCCAGTGGCGCCGGAACAAGCAAATGCAGCCAAGTCGTCGGGATGTCAAGGGGGCACCAAGTCGTACCTCTGGCACCTTCGGCTTGGCCACATAGGTCACGATGGACTCAATTGCATCGTGACGAAGAACATTGAATTTGGCATCGACATATCTTCGGTGAAGAAGTGGGACGTGTGTGAAGGTTGTGCTCTGGGAAAACAGACTCGAGTGCGCTTCCAATCAACACTACAGCTCGCACCACCAAACTCCCGAACTGACCAACAGCTCGGAACTTCCATGGCTGACAGATCACAGCGACGTATGGACGATGTCGATGGCAACTTTCAGTGGAAAACGGTACTTCGTGACATTCATTGATGACAAGTCAAGATACTGTGTCGTCTATCTGCTCAAAGCAAATCTGAAGTTGCAGGCGGGAAGTTCATGGAATACGCTGCGATGGCCGAAACGCAAACCGGAAAGCGCGTGAAGTACCTTCAAAGCGACAATGGGGGTGAATACTGATGAACTTTAGACTTCTTGGTCCGAGTGCAAAACGCAAAGTGAATATATATTTATAATAGGTACTTAGTTCGCAACTTTGAATACTACCTCTAAGCCTATTATTCGCAGTGACGTCACCCACTGACGTCATGCAATGACGTCATCCAGTGACGTCATTTCCTGACTTCGCCCTTACTGGTACATACCGGTACCCACCGGTATAGCGAAGCTTGGTCTTCCACTTGCTTCAACACTTGACGCAGCTTGACGAGGTGTCTTCTTCACAGCCGCTGTCTTTTCAACACTCCCTCTCGACTCGTTAGCTGCGGCACCTTGGATCCCAAGTCGATCGCGAATGTTTTCAAATTGTACAGCGGCGATCGGCTTGGTCATCATGTCTGCCAGCATATCTTGAGTCGGGCAATACTCCAAAACGACTTCACCTGATTCCACCTTCTCACGCACAAAATGGTAGCGTATGTCGATGTGTTTTGTTCTCTTATGGAACTCCGGGTTCTTGGCGAGAGCGATTGATCCTTGGTTGTCTTCATACATCTTGATCGCTTCGTCGCTTGTCATCTCACCAAGTTCCCCCAAAAGCACTTTGAGCCATACTGCTTCTTTGGTTGCTTCGGAAAGCGCCATGTATTCTGCTTCTGTTGAAGATAGCGCGACCGTCCGTTGTTTCTGGCTTTTCCAGCTGATGCATCCTCCGCTCATCATGAACACATAGCCGCTTGTACTTCGTCTTGACTCAATGCCGCCGGCCCAGTCTGCGTCGGTGTACCCGCAGATACGGCTTCCTTCTTCACGTGTAAACTCAAGACCATGATTGGGCGTTGCTTGCAGGTATCTCAGTGTTGAAAAGACAGCGGCTGTGAAGAAGACACCTCGTCAAGCTGCGTCAAGTGTTGAAGCAAGTGGAAGACCAAGCTTCGCTATACCGGTGGGTACCGGTATGTACCAGTAAGGGCGAAGTCAGGAAATGACGTCACTGTATCATTACATACGTCATGGATGACGTCACTGCGAATAATAGGCTTAGAGGTAGTATTCAAAGTTGCGAACTAAGTACCTATTATAAATATATATTCACTTTGCGTTTTGCACTCGGACCAAGAAGTCTAAAGTTCATCAGGTTATGAGCCCAAGTTCGTCAGACTCTGAAACCGCCAACAATTCAAGCTTAGCTGCCATGGACGCCTCCCTCCCTCCGCATCTCCAAGTTCGATGGAACTAACTTCCACGCCTGGAAGTTCAAGATGCAGATGGTGCTGGAGGAACGGGACCTATGGGAGGTCGTCAGCGGTGAGATCAAGGCGGAACAGTGCGAGACTCAGTTGGACCAAGCGACGTACAAGAGGAAGTCAAGAAAGGCGATGGCAGTGATCTGTCTAGCCATGGAAGATTCCCAGCTACCGTTGGTCCGGTCGGCAAGTGGTGCATGCGACGCATGGTCAAGGTTGGAAGACCACTTCGAGAAGAAGAGTCTTGCCAACAAGCTGTTCTTGCGCCGTCGCTTCTTCACGACAATGATGGAAGAAGGCGACGATGTGCTCGAACACATCAACAAGCTCAAGACGCTGGCGGAACAGCTAGAAGCGGTGGGGGCTCCAGTCTGCGAGGACGATCTGGTGATCACACTCCTCGGCAGCCTGAGTGACTCGTATCAATTCTTGATCACAGCTTTGGAGTCGCGCTCAGACACTCTTAGCTGGGAGCTCGTGACGTCTCGACTGCTTCATGAAGAAATGAAGCGGAAGGAGCAAGGAAGTAAAGGTGATGAAGCTTCGCAAGGTCAAGCGTTCATCACAAGGGACAATCAGCGCAAAGGGCGACCAGTGAAGAAGTCCTGGCCGTGCCACAATTGCAGAAAGATTGGTCACTGGATGGCGGAGTGCCCCTCGCGCATCCAAGAAAACACGGAGAGACACCGGCCACAGCGTGCTCAAGACAGCGGCGACCGCTATCGATCACAACGTGCAAACGTCGCTCAAGAAGAAGACTCGGGCGACTACCTCTTTTCGATCGGTGAAACGACATCTGCGAAATCGAGCGACATCTGGCTGGTCGACTCCGGGGCGACGCAGCACATGACGTGCTCCAAGAAGTTCATGCGGAACTACAAGGGGTTTGACGCTGTGGATGTCCATCTCGCGGATGATGGAATCGTCCAAGCAATCGGCAGTGGGGACATTGTCATGTCGATGAAGACACCCCAAGGGATGAAGAAAGGTGTGCTCACAAACGTGTGGCACATCCCAAAGTTATCCAGAAACCTGTTCTCGGTCGGCCGCTTCACCAAGGATGTCGGCCCAGTGACGTTCACGAAGGATGGGTGCTATGGAGAAGCGAAAGGGACCAAGTGGAAAATTGGTGCCCGTGAAGGTAAAGGACTGTTCAAGCTGCAAATGACTCCAGTGGCGCCGGAACAAGCAAATGCAGCCAAGTCGTCGGGATGTCAAGGGGGCACCAAGTCGTACCTCTGGCACCTTCGGCTTGGCCACATAGGTCACGATGGACTCAATTGCATCGTGACGAAGAACATTGGAATTGGCATCGACATATCTTCGGTGAAGAAGTGGGACGTGTGTGAAGGTTGTGCTCTGGGAAAACAGACTCGAGTGCGCTTCCAATCAAACACTACAGCTCGCACCTCCAAACTCCTCGAAGTGATTCACAGCGACGTATGCGGACCGATGTCGATGGCAACTTTCAGTGGAAAACGGTACTTCGTGACATTCATTGATGACAAGTCAAGATACTGTGTCGTCTATCTGCTCAAGAGCAAATCTGAAGTTGCGGCGAAGTTCATGGAATACGCTGCGATGGCCGAAACGCAAACCGGAAAGCGCGTGAAGTACCTTCAAAGCGACAATGGGGGTGAATACAAGTCCGACAAGCTGGCACGATTCTGCGCGGAACGGGGAATACAACAAAGGTTCACACCCCCATATACTCCTCAGCTAAACGGAGTAGCTGAGAGAATGAATCGCACGCTGGTCGAGTGTGCGCGTTGCATGATGGAACACGCTGGACTGGGAAAGAGCTACTGGGGTGAAGCAGTGATGACGGCGATGTTTCTTCGAAACCGCTGTCCAACACGTGTCATTCACCAAGACAAGTCTCCATATCAAGTGTGGACGATGAAGAAACCGATTCTGGCCAACCTTAAAGTGTTTGGATGCCACGCGTATGTTCAAGTGCCTCAAGACAAACGCGCGAAGTTCGACTCCAAGTCATCACTCTGTCGTTTCCTGGGATACGCCGAACACCAGAAGTCATATCGATTTGAGGAAGTGTCAACAGGAGCGATCAAGATCAGTCGCGATGCCACATTCATGGAAGACAAGTTTGATGAAGGTCCGCGCAACTACAACGATGAGTCAAGTGTCGTTGAGTTTGATGATCATGACGAGGACGAAGAAAAAGAAGAAGGTAAAACTGACGACGACATGGACTCGAGCGACGATGACAACGAAGACACCAGGTCTTCGAAGAGCAACATCAAGAGACACACGCGCACTCAATCACTTGAGAAAGCTACCGTCATTCCAAGTCCCAAGCGAAGAACATACAGAGGTCCGTCGCTTGAGCATGTGTCAGCGGCTGCAATGGATTTTGAAGCAGCCTGCATCGTTGATTCAGTGGGGAAACGCCGACTACATTCAAGTCGGCGATGGAATCAAGCGACTCCGGCAAGTGGAAAGAAGCGTGTGACTCGGAGTTCGATTCGCTTCAAAAAAAAGACACGTGGGAAATCGTGCCTCTTCCGAAAGGTCGCAAGGCCATCGGGTGCCGATGGGTTTTTCGTGTAAAGGAGAATCAAGATGGCGAAGTTGAACGTTTCAAGGCAAGACTTGTGGCCAAAGGATTCTCACAGAAATTCGGAGCTGACTATGAAGAAACTTTCGCACCGGTGGCCAAGTTCACATCGATTCGTGTGGTGCTCAGTATGGCCGCTAAGTACGGCCTAATGCTACATCAGATGGACGTCAAGACAGCGTTTCTTAACGGCTCCCTCAACGAAGACATCTACATGGACCAGCCGGACGGATACCTGGATGCAACACAGCCGGACTATGTGTGCAAGCTAAAGAGATCACTCTACGGCTTGAAGCAATCGCTTCGCATGTGGAACCAAACAATCGATGGGTTCATGATCAAGATGGGATTCAAGAAGTGCGAATCGGACCACTGCATCTACATCAAGCGAGACGACCAAGACATGATTCTCGTGGTGCTCTACGTCGATGATCTCATCCTGGCCAGCAGCAACAACGAACTCCTCAAGTCAACCAAGATGGCGCTGAGCAAACGCTTCGAAATGACGGATCTCGGTGAGCTCGATTACTTTCTCGGCATGGAGATCAAGAACGACCGTAAGACGGGAATGGTGACTGTACAACAAACCAAGTTTCTCAAGTCCGTGTTAACCAAGTTCGGAATGGATAACAGCAAGCCAGTGAAGACGCCTCAAGATCCCGGCCTGAAGCTAACCAAGAACATGTGTGAACAAGAATGCAAGCACGAAGACACCATGTGCAACGTGCCATATCGAAGTGCTGTCGGAGGCATCATGTATCTCATGGTCGCCACACGTCCGGATCTAGCTGCTGCAGTGGGATCATTATCCCAGTTCTCGTCCGACCCATGCCCGACTCACTGGCAAGCTTTGAAGCGTGTGCTGAGTGATGAACTTTAGACTTCTTGGTCCGAGTGCAAAACGCAAAGTGAATATATATTTATAATAGGTACTTAGTTCGCAACTTTGAATACTACCTCTAAGCCTATTATTCGCAGTGACGTCATCCAGTGACGTCACCCACTGACGTCACCCACTGACGTCATGCAATGACGTCATCCAGTGACGTCATTTCCTGACTTCGCCCTTACTGGTACATACCGGTACCCACCGGTATAGCGAAGCTTGGTCTTCCACTTGCTTCAACACTTGACGCAGCTTGACGAGGTGTCTTCTTCACAGCCGCTGTCTTTTCAACACTCCCTCTCGACTCGTTAGCTGCGGCACCTTGGATCCCAAGTCGATCGCGAATGTTTTCAAATTGTACAGCGGCGATCGGCTTGGTCATCATGTCTGCCAGCATATCTTGAGTCGGGCAATACTCCAAAACGACTTCACCTGATTCCACCTTCTCACGCACAAAATGGTAGCGTATGTCGATGTGTTTTGTTCTCTTATGGAACTCCGGGTTCTTGGCGAGAGCGATTGATCCTTGGTTGTCTTCATACATCTTGATCGCTTCGTCGCTTGTCATCTCACCAAGTTCCCCCAAAAGCACTTTGAGCCATACTGCTTCTTTGGTTGCTTCGGAAAGCGCCATGTATTCTGCTTCTGTTGAAGATAGCGCGACCGTCCGTTGTTTCTGGCTTTTCCAGCTGATGCATCCTCCGCTCATCATGAACACATAGCCGCTTGTACTTCGTCTTGACTCAATGTCGCCGGCCCAGTCTGCGTCGGTGTACCCGCAGATACGGCTTCCTTCTTCACGTGTAAACTCAAGACCATGATTGGGCGTTGCTTGCAGGTATCTCAGCACACGCTTCAAAGCTTGCCAGTGAGTCGGGCATGGGTCGGACGAGAACTGGGATAATGATCCCACTGCAGCAGCTAGATCCGGACGTGTGGCGACCATGAGATACATGATGCCTCCGACAGCACTTCGATATGGCACGTTGCACATGGTGTCTTCGTGCTTGCATTCTTGTTCACACATGTTCTTGGTTAGCTTCAGGCCGGGATCTTGAGGCGTCTTCACTGGCTTGCTGTTATCCATTCCGAACTTGGTTAACACGGACTTGAGAAACTTGGTTTGTTGTACAGTCACCATTCCCGTCTTACGGTCGTTCTTGATCTCCATGCCGAGAAAGTAATCGAGCTCACCGAGATCCGTCATTTCGAAGCGTTTGCTCAGCGCCATCTTGGTTGACTTGAGGAGTTCGTTGTTGCTGCTGGCCAGGATGAGATCATCGACGTAGAGCACCACGAGAATCATGTCTTGGTCGTCTCGCTTGATGTAGATGCAGTGGTCCGATTCGCACTTCTTGAATCCCATCTTGATCATGAACCCATCGATTGTTTGGTTCCACATGCGAAGCGATTGCTTCAAGCCGTAGAGTGATCTCTTTAGCTTGCACACATAGTCCGGCTGTGTTGCATCCAGGTATCCGTCCGGCTGGTCCATGTAGATGTCTTCGTTGAGGGAGCCGTTAAGAAACGCTGTCTTGACGTCCATCTGATGTAGCATTAGGCCGTACTTAGCCGCCATACTGAGCACCACACGAATCGATGTGAACTTGGCCACCGGTGCGAAAGTTTCTTCATAGTCAACTCCGAATTTCTGTGAGAATCCTGATGAACTTTAGACTTCTTGGTCCGAGTGCAAAACGCAAAGTGAATATATATTTATAATAGGTACTTAGTTCGCAACTTTGAATACTACCTCTAAGCCTATTATTCGCAGTGACGTCATCCAGTGACGTCACCCACTGACGTCACCCACTGACGTCATGCAATGACGTCATCCAGTGACGTCATTTCCTGACTTCGCCCTTACTGGTACATACCGGTACCCACCGGTATAGCGAAGCTTGGTCTTCCACTTGCTTCAACACTTGACGCAGCTTGACGAGGTGTCTTCTTCACAGCCGCTGTCTTTTCAACACTCCCTCTCGACTCGTTAGCTGCGGCACCTTGGATCCCAAGTCGATCGCGAATGTTTTCAAATTGTGCAGCGGCGATCAGCTTGGTCATCATGTCTGCCAGCATATCTTGAGTCGGGCAATACTCCAAAACGACTTCACCTGATTCCACCTTCTCACGCACAAAATGGTAGCGTATGTCGATGTGTTTTGTTCTCTTATGGAACTCCGGGTTCTTGGCGAGAGCGATTGATCCTTGGTTGTCTTCATACATCTTGATCGCTTCGTCGCTTGTCATCTCACCAAGTTCCCCCAAAAGCACCTTGAGCCATACTGCTTCTTTGGTTGCTTCGGAAAGCGCCATGTATTCTGCTTCTGTTGAAGATAGCGCGACCGTCCGTTGTTTCTGGCTTTTCCAGCTGATGCATCCTCCGTTCATCATGAACACATAGCCGCTTGTACTTCGTCTTGACTCAATGTCGCCGGCCCAGTCTGCGTCGGTGTACCCGCAGATACGGCTTCCTTCTTCACGTGTAAACTCAAGACCATGATTGGGCGTTGCTTGCAGGTATCTCAGCACACGCTTCAAAGCTTGCCAGTGAGTCGGGCATGGGTCGGACGAGAACTGGGATAATGATCCCACTGCAGCAGCTAGATCCGGACGTGTGGCGACCATGAGATACATGATGCCTCCGACAGCACTTCGATATGGCACGTTGCACATGGTGTCTTCGTGCTTGCATTCTTGTTCACACATGTTCTTGGTTAGCTTCAGGCCGGGATCTTGAGGCGTCTTCACTGGCTTGCTGTTATCCATTCCGAACTTGGTCAACACGGACTTGAGAAACTTGGTTTGTTGCACAGTCACCATTCCCGTCTTACGGTCGTTCTTGATCTCCATGCCGAGAAAGTAATCGAGCTCACCGAGATCCGTCATTTCGAAGCGTTTGCTCAGCGCCATCTTGGTCGACTTGAGGAGTTCGTTGTTGCTGCTGGCCAGGATGAGATCATCGACGTAGAGCACCACGAGAATCATGTCTTGGTCGTCTCGCTTGATGTAGATGCAGTGGTCCGATTCGCACTTCTTGAATCCCATCTTGATCATGAACCCATCGATTGTTTGGTTCCACATGCGAGGCGATTGCTTCAAGCCGTAGAGTGATCTCTTTAGCTTGCACACATAGTCCGGCTGTGTTGCATCCAGGTATCCGTCCGGCTGGTCCATGTAGATGTCTTCGTTGAGGGAGCCGTTAAGAAACGCTGTCTTGACGTCCATCTGATGTAGCATTAGGCCGTACTTGGCCGCCATACTGAGCACCACACGAATCGATGTGAACTTGGCCACCGGTGCGAAAGTTTCTTCATAGTCAACTCCGAATTTCTGTGAGAATCGTTTGGCCACAAGTCTTGCCTTGAAAATTTCAACTTCGCCATCTTGATTCTCCTTTACACGAAAAACCCATCGGCACCCGATGGCCTTGCGACCTTTCGGAAGAGGCACGATTTCCCACGTGTCGTTTCTCTGAAGCGAGTCGAACTCCGAGTCGCACGCTTCTTTCCACTTGCCGGAGTCGCTTGATTCCATCGCCGACTTGAATGTAGTCGGCGTTTCCCCCACTGAATCAACGATGTAGGCTGCTTCAAAATCCATTGCAGCCGCTGACACATGCTCAAGCGACGGACCTCTGTACGTTCTTCGCTTGGGACTTGGAATGACGGTAGCTTTCTCAAGTGATTGAGTGCGCGTGTGTCTCTTGATGTTGCTCTTCGAAGACCTGGTGTCTTCGTTGTCATCGTCGCTCGAGTCCATGTCGTCGTCAGTTTTACCTTCTTCTTTTTCTTCGTCCTCATCATGATCATCAAACTCAACGACACTTGACTCATCGTTGTAGTTGCGCGGACCTTCATCAAACTTGTCTTCCATGAATGTGGCATCGCGACTGATCTTGATCGCTCCTGTTGACACTTCCTCAAATCGATATGACTTCTGGTGTTCGGCGTATCCCAGGAAACGACAGAGTGATGACTTGGAGTCGAACTTCGCGCGTTTGTCTTGAGGCACTTGAACATACGCGTGGCATCCAAACACTTTAAGGTTGGCCAGAATCGGTTTCTTCATCGTCCACACTTGATATGGAGACTTGTCTTGGTGAATGGCACGTGTTGGACAGCGGTTTCGAAGAAACATCGCCGTCATCACTGCTTCACCCCAGTAGCTCTTTCCCAGTCCAGCGTGTTCCATCATGCAACGCGCACACTCGACCAGCGTGCGATTCATTCTCTCAGCTACTCCGTTTAGCTGAGGAGTATATGGGGGGTGTGAACCTTTGTTGTATTCCCCGTTCCGCGCAGAATCGTGCCAGCTTGTCGGACTTGTATTCACCCCCATTGTCGCTTTGAAGGTACTTCACGCGCTTTCCGGTTTGCGTTTCGGCCATCGCAGCGTATTCTATGAACTTCGCCGCAACTTCAGATTTGCTCTTGAGCAGATAGACGACACAGTATCTTGACTTGTCATCAATGAATGTCACGAAGTACCGTTTTCCACTGAAAGTTGCCATCGACATCGGTCCGCATACGTCGCTGTGAATCACTTCGAGGAGTTTGGAGGTGCGAGCTGTAGTGTTTGATTGGAAGCGCACTCGAGTCTGTTTTCCCAGAGCACAACCTTCACACACGTCCCACTTCTTCACCGAAGATATGTCGATGCCAATTCCAATGTTCTTCGTCACGATGCAATTGAGTCCATCGTGACCTATGTGGCCAAGCCGAAGGTGCCAGAGGTACGACTTGGTGCCCCCTTGACATCCCGACGACTTGGCTGCATTTGCTTGTTCCGGCGCCACTGGAGTCATTTGCAGCTTGAACAGTCCTTTACCTTCACGGGCACCAATTTTCCACTTGGTCCCTTTCGCTTCTCCATAGCACCCATCCTTCGTGAACGTCACTGGGCCGACATCCTTGGTGAAGCGGCCGACCGAGAACAGGTTTCTGGATAACTTTGGGATGTGCCACACGTTTGTGAGCACACCTTTCTTCATCCCTTGGGGTGTCTTCATCGACATGACAATGTCCCCACTGCCGATTGCTTGGACGATTCCATCATCCGCGAGATGGACATCCACAGCGTCAAACCCCTTGTAGTTCCGCATGAACTTCTTGGAGCACGTCATGTGCTGCGTCGCCCCGGAGTCGACCAGCCAGATGTCGCTCGATTTCGCAGATGTCGTTTCACCGATCGAAAAGAGGTAGTCGCCCGAGTCTTCTTCTTGAGCGACGTTTGCACGTTGTGATCGATAGCGGTCGCCGCTGTCTTGAGCACGCTGTGGCCGGTGTCTTGAGCTTGTTGATGTGTTCGAGCACATCGTCGCCTTCTTCCATCATTGTCGTGAAGAAGCGACGGCGCAAGAACAGCTTGTTGGCAAGACTCTTCTTCTCGAAGTGGTCTTCCAACCTTGACCATGCGTCGCATGCACCACTTGCCGACCGGACCAACGGTAGCTGGGAATCTTCCATGGCTAGACAGATCACTGCCATCGCCTTTCTTGACTCACCGCTGACGACCTCCCATAGGTCCCGTTCCTCCAGCACCATCTGCATCTTGAACTTCCAGGCGTGGAAGTTAGTTCCATCGAACTTGGAGATGCGGAGGGAGGAGGCGTCCATGGCAGCTAAGCTTGAATTGTTGGCGGTTTCAGAGTCTGACGAACTTGGGCTCATAACCTGATGAACTTTAGACTTCTTGGTCCGAGTGCAAAACGCAAAGTGAATATATATTTATAATAGGTACTTAGTTCGCAACTTTGAATACTACCTCTAAGCCTATTATTCGCAGTGACGTCATCCAGTGACGTCATTTCCTGACTTCGCCCTTACTGGTACATACCGGTACCCACCGGTATAGCGAAGCTTGGTCTTCCACTTGCTTCAACACTTGACGCAGCTTGAGGAGGTGTCTTCTTCACAGCCGCTGTCTTTTCAACAAATCCTTTGGCCACAAGTCTTGCCTTGAAACGTTCAACTTCGCCATCTTGATTCTCCTTTACACGAAAAACCCATCGGCACCCGATGGCCTTGCGACCTTTCGGAAGAGGCACGATTTCCCACGTGTCGTTTCTCTGAAGCGAATCGAACTCCGAGTCACACGCTTCTTTCCACTTGCCGGAGTCGCTTGATTCCATCGCCGACTTGAATGTAGTCGGCGTTTCCCCCACTGAATCAACGATGTAGGCTGCTTCAAAATCCATTGCAGCCGCTGACACATGCTCAAGCGACGGACCTCTGTATGTTCTTCGCTTGGGACTTGGAATGACGGTAGCTTTCTCAAGTGATTGAGTGCGCGTGTGTCTCTTGATGTTGCTCTTCGAAGACCTGGTGTCTTCGTTGTCATCGTCGCTCGAGTCCATGTCGTCGTCAGTTTTACCTTCTTCTTTTTCTTCGTCCTCATCATGATCATCAAACTCAACGACACTTGACTCATCGTTGTAGTTGCGCGGACCTTCATCAAACTTGTCTTCCATGAATGTGGCATCGCGACTGATCTTGATCGCTCCTGTTGACACTTCCTCAAATCGATATGACTTCTGGTGTTCGGCGTATCCCAGGAAACGACAGAGTGATGACTTGGAGTCGAACTTCGCGCGTTTGTCTTGAGGCACTTGAACATACGCGTGGCATCCAAACACTTTAAGGTTGGCCAGAATCGGTTTCTTCATCGTCCACACTTGATATGGAGACTTGTCTTGGTGAATGGCACGTGTTGGACAGCGGTTTCGAAGAAACATCGCCGTCATCACTGCTTCACCCCAGTAGCTCTTTCCCAGTCCAGCGTGTTCCATCATGCAACGCGCACACTCGACCAGCGTGCGATTCATTCTCTCAGCTACTCCGTTTAGCTGAGGAGTATATGGGGGTGTGAACCTTTGTTGTATTCCCCGTTCCGCGCAGAATCGTGCCAGCTTGTCGGACTTGTATTCACCCCCATTGTCGCTTTGAAGGTACTTCACGCGCTTTCCGGTTTGCGTTTCGGCCATCGCAGCGTATTCCATGAACTTCGCCGCAACTTCAGATTTGCTCTTGAGCAGATAGACGACACAGTATCTTGACTTGTCATCAATGAATGTCACGAAGTACCGTTTTCCACTGAAAGTTGCCATCGACATCGGTCCGCATACGTCGCTGTGAATCACTTCGAGGAGTTTGGAGGTGCGAGCTGTAGTGTTTGATTGGAAGCGCACTCGAGTCTGTTTTCCCAGAGCACAACCTTCACACACGTCCCACTTCTTCACCGAAGATATGTCGATGCCAATTCAATGTTCTTCGTCACGATGCAATTGAGTCCATCGTGACCTATGTGGCCAAGCCGAAGGTGCCAGAGGTACGACTTGGTGCCCCCTTGACATCCCGACGACTTGGCTGCATTTGCTTGTTCCGGCGCCACTGGAGTCATTTGCAGCTTGAACAGTCCTTTACCTTCACGGGCACCAATTTTCCACTTGGTCCCTTTCGCTTCTCCATAGCACCCATCCTTCGTGAACGTCACTGGGCCGACATCCTTGGTGAAGCGGCCGACCGAGAACAGGTTTCTGGATAACTTTGGGATGTGCCACGTTTGTGAGCACACCTTTCTTCATCCCTTGGGGTGTCTTCATCGACATGACAATGTCCCCACTGCCGATTGCTTGGACGATTCCATCATCCGCGAGATGGACATCCACAGCGTCAAACCCCTTGTAGTTCCGCATGAACTTCTTGGAGCACGTCATGTGCTGCGTCGCCCCGGAGTCGACCAGCCAGATGTCGCTCGATTTCGCAGATGTCGTTTCACCGATCGAAAGAGGTAGTCGCCCGAGTCTTCTTCTTGAGCGACGTTTGCACGTTGTGATCGATAGCGGTCGCCGCTGTCTTGAGCACGCTGTGGCCGGTGTCTCTCCGTGTTTTCTTGGATGCGCGAGGGGCACTCCGCCATCCAGTGACCAATCTTTCCGCAATTGTGGCACGGCCAGGACTTCTTCACTGGTCGCCCTTTGCGCTGATTGTCCCTTGTGATGAACGCTTGACCTTGCGAAGCTTCATCACCTTTACTTCCTTGCTCCTTCCGCTTCATTTCTTCATGAAGCAGTCGAGACGTCACGAGCTCCCAGCTAAGAGTGTCTGAGCGCGACTCCAAAGCTGTGATCAAGAATTGATACGAGTCACTCAGGCTGCCGAGGAGTGTGATCACCAGATCGTCCTCGCAGACTGGAGCCCCCACCGCTTCTAGCTGTTCCGCCAGCGTCTTGAGCTTGTTGATGTGTTCGAGCACATCGTCGCCTTCTTCCATCATTGTCGTGAAGAAGCGACGGCGCAAGAACAGCTTGTTGGCAAGACTCTTCTTCTCGAAGTGGTCTTCCAACCTTGACCATGCGTCGCATGCACCACTTGCCGACCGGACCAACGGTAGCTGGGAATCTTCCATGGCTAGACAGATCACTGCCATCGCCTTTCTTGACTTCCTCTTGTACGTCGCTTGGTCCAACTGAGTCTCGCACTGTTCCGCCTTGATCTCACCGCTGACGACCTCCCATAAGTTCCGCTCCTCAAGCACCATCTGCATCTTGAACTTCCAGGCGTGGAAGTTAGTTCCATCGAACTTGGAGATGCGGAGGGAGGAGGCGTCCATGGCAGCTAAGCTTGAATTGTTGGCGGTTTCAGAGTCTGACGAACTTGGGCTCATAACCTGATGAACTTTAGACTTCTTGGTCCGAGTGCAAAACGCAAAGTGAATATATATTTATAATAGGTACTTAGTTCGCAACTTTGAATACTACCTCTAAGCCTATTATTCGCAGTGACGTCACCCACTGACGTCATGCAATGACGTCATCCAGTGACGTCATTTCCTGACTTCGCCCTTACTGGTACATACCGGTACCCACCGGTATAGCGAAGCTTGGTCTTCCACTTGCTTCAACACTTGACGCAGCTTGACGAGGTGTCTTCTTCACAGCCGCTGTCTTTTCAACAAATACAACAAAGGTTCACACCCCCATATACTCCTCAGCTAAACGGAGTAGCTGAGAGAATGAATCGCACGCTGGTCGAGTGTGCGCGTTGCATGATGGAACACGCTGGACTGGGAAAGAGCTACTGGGGTGAAGCAGTGATGACGGCGATGTTTCTTCGAAACCGCTGTCCAACACGTGCCATTCACCAAGACAAGTCTCCATATCAAGTGTGGACGATGAAGAAACCGATTCTGGCCAACCTTAAAGTGTTTGGATGCCACGCGTATGTTCAAGTGCCTCAAGACAAACGCGCGAAGTTCGACTCCAAGTCATCACTCTGTCGTTTCCTGGGATACGCCGAACACCAGAAGTCATATCGATTTGAGGAAGTGTCAACAGGAGCGATCAAGATCAGTCGCGATGCCACATTCATGGAAGACAAGTTTGATGAAGGTCCGCGCAACTACAACGATGAGTCAAGTGTCGTTGAGTTTGATGATCATGATGAGGACGAAGAAAAAGAAGAAGGTAAAACTGACGACGACATGGACTCGAGCGACGATGACAACGAAGACACCAGGTCTTCGAAGAGCAACATCAAGAGACACACGCGCACTCAATCACTTGAGAAAGCTACCGTCATTCCAAGTCCCAAGCGAAGAACGTACAGATGTCCGTCGCTTGAGCATGTGTCAGCGGCTGCAATGGATTTTGAAGCAGCCTACATCGTTGATTCAGTGGGGGAAACGCCGACTACATTCAAGTCGGCGATGGAATCAAGCGACTCCGGCAAGTGGAAAGAAGCGTGTGACTCGGAGTTCGACTCGCTTCAGAGAAACGACACGTGGGAAATCGTGCCTCTTCCGAAAGGTCGCAAGGCCATCGGGTGCCGATGGGTTTTTCGTGTAAAGGAGAATCAAGATGGCGAAGTTGAACGTTTCAAGGCAAGACTTGTGGCCAAAGGATTCTCACAGAAATTCGGAGTTGACTATGAAGAAACTTTCGCACCGGTGGCCAAGTTCACATCGATTCGTGTGGTGCTCAGTATGGCGGCTAAGTACGGCCTAATGCTACATCAGATGGACGTCAAGACAGCGTTTCTTAACGGCTCCCTCAACGAAGACATCTACATGGACCAGCCGGACGGATACCTGGATGCAACACAGCCGGACTATGTGTGCAAGCTAAAGAGATCACTCTACGGCTTGAAGCAATCGCCTCGCATGTGGAACCAAACAATCGATGGGTTCATGATCAAGATGGGATTCAAGAAGTGCGAATCGGACCACTGCATCTACATCAAGCGAGACGACCAAGACATGATTCTCGTGGTGCTCTACGTCGATGATCTCATCCTGGCCAGCAGCAACAACGAACTCCTCAAGTCGACCAAGATGGCGCTGAGCAAACGCTTCGAAATGACGGATCTCGGTGAGCTCGATTACTTTCTCGGCATGGAGATCAAGAACGACCGTAAGACGGGAATGGTGACTGTGCAACAAACCAAGTTTCTCAAGTCCGTGTTAACCAAGTTCGGAATGGATAACAGCAAGCCAGTGAAGACGCCTCAAGATCCCGGCCTGAAGCTAACCAAGAACATGTGTGAACAAGAATGCAAGCACGAAGACACCATGTGCAACGTGCCATATCGAAGTGCTGTCGGAGGCATCATGTATCTCATGGTCGCCACACGTCCGGATCTAGCTGCTGCAGTGGGATCATTATCCCAGTTCTCGTCCGACCCATGCCCGACTCACTGGCAAGCTTTGAAGCGTGTGCTGAGATACCTGCAAGCAACGCCCAACCATGGTCTTGAGTTTACACGTGAAGAAGGAAGCCGTATCTGCGGGTACACCGACGCAGACTGGGCCGGCGACATTGAGTCAAGACGAAGTACAAGCGGCTATGTGTTCATGATGAGCGGAGGATGCATCAGCTGGAAAAGCCAGAAACAACGGACGGTCGCGCTATCTTCAACAGAAGCAGAATACATGGCGCTTTCCGAAGCAACCAAAGAAGCAGTATGGCTCAAGGTGCTTTTGGGGGGAACTTGGTGAGATGACAAGCGACGAAGCGATCAAGATGTATGAAGACAACCAAGGATCAATCGCTCTCGCCAAGAACCCGGAGTTCCATAAGAGAACAAAACACATCGACATACGCTACCATTTTGTGCGTGAGAAGGTGGAATCAGGTGAAGTCGTTTTGGAGTATTGCCCGACTCAAGATATGCTGGCAGACATGATGACCAAGCCGATCGCCGCTGTACAATTTGAAAACATTCGCGATCGACTTGGGATCCAAGGTGCCGCAGCTAACGAGTCGAGAGGGAGTGTTGAAAAGACAGCAGCTGTGAAGAAGACACCTCGTCAAGCTGCGTCAAGTGTTGAAGCAAGTGGAAGACCAAGCTTCGCTATACCGGTGGGTACCGGTATGTACCAGTAAGGGCGAAGTCAGGAAATGACGTCACTGGATGACGTCATTGCATGACGTCACTGGATGACGTCATTGCATGACGTCAGTGGGTGACGTCAGTGGGTGACGTCACTGGATGACGTCACTGCGAATAATAGGCTTAGAGGTAGTATTCAAAGTTGCGAACTAAGTACCTATTATAAATATATATTTACTTTGCGTTTTGCACTCGGACCAAGAAGTCTAAAGCTCATCAGGCTGCACAACAAGCAGATCGCCACGTCCTCATCCTCCATCTTGGCGCCGATGCTGCTGAGCTTGGCGCTGATGTTGAGAACTTCATTGCAATGATGCATCACATTGCCGCCTTCCGCCATCTCCATGCTGAACAGCTGCCGCTTCAAGAAGATCCGTCCCGCCTTCTGCGACCCGCCGTAGAGAGTCTTCAACCGTGTCCACGCAACCCATGCCTCGTCGCAGTCATCAACCACGTGATGATAGTGCGCGCTCATTTGAAGTGACATCAAGCCGAACGCAATGTTGTTCGTCTTGACGTACTCATCACTGGCGCGAGGATCGGTGAAGGTGGGGATGGTCTCCCGGTTGACCACGTGCCACGTCGACTTGGTCAGGAACACGCCACGCATGTAGCGGCTCCACGTCGCGTAGTTGTCTCCATCGAATCTATCGATAGAGATCTTGGTGGCGGAATCTTGAGCAGAGGACATCGTGCTTGGGCTAATAACCTGTTAAAGTCTGAAGAGCACTGGACGAGAGAACGAAGCTTGAAGAACGCTGAAGAAGTCTGCACTGCGAAGTGTAGACGACTTGTGCTGAAGAAGGAATATTTGGAAGTGAATTTATTTGTGGGTTTTGTTAAAGCTACCTGATCTATCTCTGCACTGATTTATATGTTGTCCACATAAAAATCATGAATCATAAATCATGTAGGTCATCCAATCATCCTATGCGTCTAATCATTGGTAAAAACTCACCGTAATTACGCGGGATCGACTTGAACAGGTTTACGGTTCCCATGGTAGCTGATAGCAGTACCTCAACCGTCAACCCACAATATACACCACATTTAAATCATGTAGTCAGTAGTAAGCCCCGATAATCAATCACTTTCGAATATTTCAACAAGTGAGCAAGTATCTTCTGCTCACGTCGGTCTCTCCGCTCCCTTCGATCCGCTCTCGGCCATGCAAACAGGTTATGAGTCCAAGCGCCATGTCGTCTGCCACCAACGTATCATCCGACGTCTTCATTGATAAGCTCAATGGAGACAACTATGCGACTAGGGGTCGATACGTGCGCGGTGTGTTTTTGACGAAGTCCGTCTGACACGTCGTAAATTGTGAAGCGACTCCGACTTTCACCGACCCGCGAGCGTCCGATGAATACATCAAATCGAGCAACGTCGCATTTGGTATGATGCTGCTACACATAAATGCAAATTACCACCATGTGCTTGACAACTGCGAGGAAGCGTGGGTTGCGTGGACACCTCTGAAGATGCTGTACGGTGGGTTGCAGAAGGCAGGACTCATCTTCCTCAAGCGACAACTTTTCAGCATCAAGACGACTGAAGGTGCAGACGTCACGCACCACTGCAATGAAGTCCTCAACATCTCCTCCAAGCTTAGCGGCATCGGTGCGAAGATGGAAGACGAAGACGTTGCAATCTGTCTGCTGCTCAGTCTTCCGAAGAGCTACGAAAATGTGGTGCTCAACATGGAAATGAGCAGCGCCGAGCTTCGTACCCAAGATGTGGTAAGAGTGCTGATGAATGAGCACGCCAAGCGTCAAGAAAAAAAAAAGTACAGCAACGGCGACTACGGTGAAGGCTGAAGATGCAAGTGTTGACGGTCATCGGTTTCTACCAGTTTTGGTAACCGTGACCGGTCCAATCCGAACCGCCTGTTCAGCTTAGTATTTACGACGTAGTTCTTACGGTAATTATCATAGTTGATTAGACGCGTAGGATGATGAGACGCTTCACATGATTTATATGTGCACCACATATAAATCATGTAGTAAGTAGTAAGCCCCGATAATCAATCACTTTCCAATCTTCCATCTACCCCCAAGTGTATTCTCCGGTCTTCCGAGCGGACGCTCAGCATCCCTCCCAGTTTCGGTCGTCAAGCTCTTCACCACTCAACAGGTTATGAGCCCAAGCACGATGTCCTCTGCCCATGATGCCACCACCAAGATCTCCATTGACAAGTTCGACGGCGACAACTACGCGACGTGGAGCCGCTACATGCGTGGCGTGTTCCTGACCAAGTCGGCGTGGCACGTGGTGAACCGGGAGACCACCCCCCACCTTCGCCGATCCTCGCGCCAGTGACGACTACGTCAAGACGAACAACATTGCGTTCGGCTTGATGCTGCTGCACATGAGCGCAGATTATCATCACGTGGTTGATGACTGTGAAGAGTCGTGGGTCGCGTGGGCGCGTTTGAATACGCTGTACGGCGGGTCGCAGAAGGCTGGACGCATCTACTTGAAGCGTCAGCTGTTCAGCATGGAGATGGCGGAAGGCGGCAATGTGATGCATCATTGCAATGAGGTCCTCAACATCAGCGCGAAGCTGACTAGCATCGGCGCCAAGATGGAGGACGAGGACGTTGCGATCTGCTTGTTGCGCAGTCTCCCCAAGAGTTTCGAGAACGTGGTTCTCAACTTGGAGATGAACAGCGCAGAGCTTTGATCGCGGGACGTCGTGAAATTGCTCACGAACGAGCATGTCAAGCGGCAAGGTGACCAGACGACATCGGTGAAGACTGAAGACGCGGCCAAGGCGTTCAGTACCGAGCGTGAACCGCACCATTGCACGTACTGCGGAAAATTGGGGCATACGGTGGACCGATGCTGGACCAAGCAGAAGGACGAAAATCAAGGTGGAGCTCGACGCGGCGGCAACAATGCTCGTGGACGCGGAGCCAACAACGTTCAGTGGCGAACCAACAACAACAACAACGACGACAACTACGATCGAGTTGCGTTCGCGGTTTCGCTGGAAACTGGACTTTCGACGGGCAAGAATATGCCAGGGATGTGGGCGGTCGACAGTGGTGCGACGCATCACATCTGCAACGACAAAGCCAAGTTTGCAAGCCTGAATGAGCGAGAGGAAGGCGAACTATCAGTGGCTGATGGCAGCAAGGCTGCGATCAAGGGTGTGGGAACCATCATGGAACGGGTGGTTCTGCCCAATGGTGACGAACGCGACATCGAGATCAAGGACGCACTGTTCGTACCAAGCGTGAGCAAGAATCTGCTTTCGGTGCCACAGATCAACAAGGGTGGCAGGTTCCAAGTCGTGTTCGATGGATCCAAGATGCAAGTGAAGCGCAAGAATTCCACACAAGTTGCGGCAACAGCGGATCTCGTCGATGGACTTTACTGGCTGCGGACTCCTCAATGATCGGCAAATGCAGCAACACGCAATGGGACCATCGACTTGCATGCACGCATGGGTCATGCACCCCTCGAAGTTCTGCGCAAGATGGTGGCCACTGGCATGATCAAGGACGCCAAGGCACCTCTCAACTCGACTGGTCCAAGTGTGTGTCGCGGTTGCCAGCAAGGAAAGATGGTCCAAAAATCATTCCCAACCAACCGTGACAAACGCCAATATGGTGTGTTCGAGTTGCTGCACTTCGACATCTGCGGGCCAATGGAACAAGTCTCGATCGGCGGCAGCAGATACTAACTGCTTGTGGTTGACGAAGCTAGCGGTTGCATGAAGGGCTTCTGTCTGCGGTTCAAGTCTGAGAGTGAAGACTGTATCAAGAACCACATCATCAAGATTCAGACTCAGTTCGGCACGAAGATCAAGTTTGTTCGGCACGATGGAGCGCATGAGTTTGCGACCAACTCCATCAAGACCTTCTACGAAGATCATGGTATCGAACAACAGATCACGGTGCCGTATGCACACCAGACCAACGGCACCGCAGAACGCGCGATAAGGTGTTGAAAAGACAGCGGCTGTGAAGAAGACACCTCGTCAAGCTGCGTCAAGTGTTGAAGCAAGTGGAAGACCAAGCTTCGCTATACCGGTGGGTACCGGTATGTACCAGTAAGGGCGAAGTCAGGAAATGACGTCACTGGATGACGTCATTGCATGACGTCAGTGGGTGACGTCACTGGATGACGTCACTGCGAATAATAGGCTTAGAGGTAGTATTCAAAGTTGCGAACTAAGTACCTATTATAAATATATATTCACTTTGCGTTTTGCACTCGGACCAAGAAGTCTAAAGTTCATCAGGTTATGAGCCCAAGTTCGTCAGACTCTGAAACCGCCAACAATTCAAGCTTAGCTGCCATGGACGCCTCCTCCCTCCGCATCTCCAAGTTCGATGGAACTAACTTCCACGCCTGGAAGTTCAAGATGCAGATGGTGCTGGAGGAACGGGACCTATGGGAGGTCGTCAGCGGTGAGATCAAGGCGGAACAGTGCGAGACTCAGTTGGACCAAGCGACGTACAAGAGGAAGTCAAGAAAGGCGATGGCAGTGATCTGTCTAGCCATGGAAGATTCCCAGCTACCGTTGGTCCGGTCGGCAAGTGGTGCATGCGACGCATGGTCAAGGTTGGAAGACCACTTCGAGAAGAAGAGTCTTGCCAACAAGCTGTTCTTGCGCCGTCGCTTCTTCACGACAATGATGGAAGAAGGCGACGATGTGCTCGAACACATCAACAAGCTCAAGACGCTGGCGGAACAGCTAGAAGCGGTGGGGGCTCCAGTCTGCGAGGACGATCTGGTGATCACACTCCTCGGCAGCCTGAGTGACTCGTATCAATTCTTGATCACAGCTTTGGAGTCGCGCTCAGACACTCTTAGCTGGGAGCTCGTGACGTCTCGACTGCTTCATGAAGAAATGAAGCGGAAGGAGCAAGGAAGTAAAGGTGATGAAGCTTCGCAAGGTCAAGCGTTCATCACAAGGGACAATCAGCGCAAAGGGCGACCAGTGAAGAAGTCCTGGCCGTGCCACAATTGCGGAAAGATTGGTCACTGGATGGCGGAGTGCCCCTCGCGCATCCAAGAAAACACGGAGAGACACCGGCCACAGCGTGCTCAAGACAGCGGCGACCGCTATCGATCACAACGTGCAAACGTCGCTCAAGAAGAAGACTCGGGCGACTACCTCTTTTCGATCGGTGAAACGACATCTGCGAAATCGAGCGACATCTGGCTGGTCGACTCCGGGGCGACGCAGCACATGACGTGCTCCAAGAAGTTCATGCGGAACTACAAGGGGTTTGACGCTGTGGATGTCCATCTCGCGGATGATGGAATCGTCCAAGCAATCGGCAGTGGGGACATTGTCATGTCGATGAAGACACCCCAAGGGATGAAGAAAGGTGTGCTCACAAACGTGTGGCACATCCCAAAGTTATCCAGAAACCTGTTCTCGGTCGGCCGCTTCACCAAGGATGTCGGCCCAGTGACGTTCACGAAGGATGGGTGCTATGGAGAAGCGAAAGGGACCAAGTGGAAAATTGGTGCCCGTGAAGGTAAAGGACTGTTCAAGCTGCAAATGACTCCAGTGGCGCCGGAACAAGCAAATGCAGCCAAGTCGTCGGGATGTCAAGGGGGCACCAAGTCGTACCTCTGGCACCTTCGGCTTGGCCACATAGGTCACGATGGACTCAATTGCATCGTGACGAAGAACATTGGAATTGGCATCGACATATCTTCGGTGAAGAAGTGGGACGTGTGTGAAGGTTGTGCTCTGGGAAAACAGACTCGAGTGCGCTTCCAATCAAACACTACAGCTCGCACCTCCAAACTCCTCGAAGTGATTCACAGCGACGTATGCGGACCGATGTCGATGGCAACTTTCAGTGGAAAACGGTACTTCGTGACATTCATTGATGACAAGTCAAGATACTGTGTCGTCTATCTGCTCAAGAGCAAATCTGAAGTTGCGGCGAAGTTCATGGAATACGCTGCGATGGCCGAAACGCAAACCGGAAAGCGCGTGAAGTACCTTCAAAGCGACAATGGGGGTGAATACAAGTCCGACAAGCTGGCACGATTCTGCGCGGAACGGGGAATACAACAAAGGTTCACACCCCCATATACTCCTCAGCTAAACGGAGTAGCTGAGAGAATGAATCGCACGCTGGTCGAGTGTGCGCGTTGCATGATGGAACACGCTGGACTGGGAAAGAGCTACTGGGGTGAAGCAGTGATGACGGCGATGTTTCTTCGAAACCGCTGTCCAACACGTGCCATTCACCAAGACAAGTCTCCATATCAAGTGTGGACGATGAAGAAACCGATTCTGGCCAACCTTAAAGTGTTTGGATGCCACGCGTATGTTCAAGTGCCTCAAGACAAACGCGCGAAGTTCGACTCCAAGTCATCACTCTGTCGTTTCCTGGGATACGCCGAACACCAGAAGTCATATCGATTTGAGGAAGTGTCAACAGGAGCGATCAAGATCAGTCGCGATGCCACATTCATGGAAGACAAGTTTGATGAAGGTCCGCGCAACTACAACGATGAGTCAAGTGTCGTTGAGTTTGATGATCATGATGAGGACGAAGAAAAAGAAGAAGGTAAAACTGACGACGACATGGACTCGAGCGACGATGACAACGAAGACACCAGGTCTTCGAAGAGCAACATCAAGAGACACACGCGCACTCAATCACTTGAGAAAGCTACCGTCATTCCAAGTCCCAAGCGAAGAACATACAGAGGTCCGTCGCTTGAGCATGTGTCAGCGGCTGCAATGGATTTTGAAGCAGCCTACATCGTTGATTCAGTGGGGGAAACGCCGACTACATTCAAGTCGGCGATGGAATCAAGCGACTCCGGCAAGTGGAAAGAAGCGTGTGACTCGGAGTTCGATTCGCTTCAGAGAAACGACACGTGGGAAATCGTGCCTCTTCCGAAAGGTCGCAAGGCCATCGGGTGCCGATGGGTTTTTCGTGTAAAGGAGAATCAAGATGGCGAAGTTGAACGTTTCAAGGCAAGACTTGTGGCCAAAGGATTCTCACAGAAATTCGGAGTTGACTATGAAGAAACTTTCGCACCGGTGGCCAAGTTCACATCGATTCGTGTGGTGCTCAGTATGGCGGCCAAGTACGGCCTAATGCTACATCAGATGGACGTCAAGACAGCGTTTCTTAACGGCTCCCTCAACGAAGACATCTACATGGACCAGCCGGACGGATACCTGGATGCAACACAGCCGGACTATGTGTGCAAGCTAAAGAGATCACTCTACGGCTTGAAGCAATCGCCTCGCATGTGGAACCAAACAATCGATGGGTTCATGATCAAGATGGGATTCAAGAAGTGCGAATCGGACCACTGCATCTACATCAAGCGAGACGACCAAGACATGATTCTCGTGGTGCTCTACGTCGATGATCTCATCCTGGCCAGCAGCAACAACGAACTCCTCAAGCCAACCAAGATGGCGCTGAGCAAACGCTTCGAAATGACGGATCTCGGTGAGCTCGATTACTTTCTCGGCATGGAGATCAAGAACGACCGTAAGACGGGAATGGTGACTGTACAACAAACCAAGTTTCTCAAGTCCGTGTTAACCAAGTTCGGAATGGATAACAGCAAGCCAGTGAAGACGCCTCAAGATCCCGGCCTGAAGCTAACCAAGAACATGTGTGAACAAGAATGCAAGCACGAAGACACCATGTGCAACGTGCCATATCGAAGTGCTGTCGGAGGCATCATGTATCTCATGGTCGCCACACGTCCGGATCTAGCTGCTGCAGTGGGATCATTATCCCAGTTCTCGTCCGACCCATGCCCGACTCACTGGCAAGCTTTGAAGCGTGTGCTGAGATACCTGCAAGCAACGCCCAATCATGGTCTTGAGTTTACACGTGAAGAAGGAAGCCGTATCTGCGGGTACACCGACGCAGACTGGGCCGGCGACATTGAGTCAAGACGAAGTACAAGCGGCTATGTGTTCATGATGAGCGGAGGATGCATCAGCTGGAAAAGCCAGAAACAACGGACGGTCGCGCTATCTTCAACAGAAGCAGAATACATGGCGCTTTCCGAAGCAACCAAAGAAGCAGTATGGCTCAAAGTGCTTTTGGGGGAACTTGGTGAGATGACAAGCGACGAAGCGATCAAGATGTATGAAGACAACCAAGGATCAATCGCTCTCGCCAAGAACCCGGAGTTCCATAAGAGAACAAAACACATCGACATACGCTACCATTTTGTGCGTGAGAAGGTGGAATCAGGTGAAGTCGTTTTGGAGTATTGCCCGACTCAAGATATGCTGGCAGACATGATGACCAAGCCGATCGCCGCTGTACAATTTGAAAACATTCGCGATCGACTTGGGATCCAAGGTGCCGCAGCTAACGAGTCGAGAGGGAGTGTTGAAAAGACAGCGGCTGTGAAGAAGACACCTCGTCAAGCTGCGTCAAGTGTTGAAGCAAGTGGAAGACCAAGCTTCGCTATACCGGTGGGTACCGGTATGTACCAGTAAGGGCGAAGTCAGGAAATGACGTCACTGGATGACGTCATTGCATGACGTCAGTGGGTGACGTCACTGGATGACGTCACTGCGAATAATAGGCTTAGAGGTAGTATTCAAAGTTGCGAACTAAGTACCTATTATAAATATATATTCACTTTGCGTTTTGCACTCGGACCAAGAAGTCTAAAGTTCATCATAAGGACCATCGTCACGATCGGACGCAGCTTGTTGCATCATGCAAAACTGGAGAAGTGTTTCTGGGCTGAAGCGGCAATGACGGCGATTTACATCAAGAACCGCCTGCCTTCACCCAAGATCGACCACAAGACTCCGTTCGAGATCGTGTACAAGTCGAAACCAAGTGTCAAGCACATGCGCGTGTTTGGATGTCGGGCGTTTATCCTGACACCAAGGGAGAAGCGATTGAAGTGGGACCCGAAAGCTCGTGAAGGGATGTTCATGGGATACGAAGAAGTTTTAAAAGCGTATCGAGTTTACGACATTGAGGCGGACCAAGTGGTGATTAGTCGTGACATCACCTTCGACGAATCGACTTTTGACTTTTCGATGGACCGACCAAGTGACGATGATGAAGATGCGGAGTTGGACCTCGACCTCCTGGCGATCAACGAGGACGACGTGCGTCAAACCGTCTACAAGCAGACTGGCAAGCGCAAGAGTGAAGCAAGACCCGGCATGCCACGTTCAGCTCGCCCTCGAACTGGGTTGGAACAAGCAAGTGCGCCGGCACACGTCTCCAACCGTCACCAGAAACGACGATCAAGTGCTCCAGAAACGATGTCTGATGACGAAGAAGATACAAGCGTCTACGATCAAGATGACGACTCGACACCTCCAACATTTTGGCGTGCAAGTGCAAAAGCAGTGGAAGCAACGGACCTAGCAGAACCTGTGACTTTTCAAGACGCGATCAATGGTCCTGATCAAGCTCACTGGCGAAATGCTGTGAAGGCGGAACTCAAGTCGATGCATCTTCGTGGAGTTTTCCGTGCGGCAAAACTACCAAGAGGCCAAGGCGCGATCGGCACCAAGTGGGTGTTCAAGATCAAGCGCAAAGCGGATGGATCGGTCGAGAAATACAAGGCGCGTCTCGTTGCCAAGGGCTTCAAGCAGAAGTACGGCATCGACTACACAGAGACGTTCTTGCCCGTGGTCAAGTACGTGACACTGCGTATGGTGATCGCGATCACCAAGTATTTCGACTGGCCACTGGACCAACTCGATGTGGTGACAGCCTTTCTCTACGGAGTGATGAAGGAGAAGGTGTACTGCGTGATACCAGAAGGCGTCGAGATGGATGGCGACTTCGACTGTCTCGAGTTGGTGAAGGCGATCTACGGTCTCAAGCAAGCTTCACGTGTGTGGAACGAGACTTTCGACGAGTTCGTATGCTCTATCGGTTTCGAAGCGTCGGCGTTCGACCCATGTCTCTACATCAAGGTTGTCGACGGTCACTGTGTGCTCGTGCTGGTCTACGTGGATGACGTGTTGGTCACCGGCAGCTCGCTCGAGTTGATTGCGCAGACGAAGGCCGACCTCAAGACGCGTTTCGAGATGACCGACAGTGGCAAGTGTACTTTTGTACTGGGCATCGAACTGGTGGACGAATCGGATGGCAGCGTGACGATGTGCCAGCGACGGTATGTCAACGACATCCTCAAGCGCTTCGGCATGGATGAGTGCAAGGCCACAGCAAGTCCGGTCGACTTGAGCACTCGGCTTGTCGCAAGCACCGAAGCGGCCAAGATCAACGTTCCGTTTCGTAAAGCTGTGGGAGCTTTGATGCACTTGACGACTGCGACGCGCCCGGACATTGCGTATGCTGTGGGGTACGTCTCGCGCTCCATGGAGAATCCGCAGCAAGAACATTGGACGGCGGTGAAGCGCATCTTTCGTTACTTGCAAGGGACCAAGTCACACGGACTCCGCTTCCAGCCAAGCGACAAGATCGACTTTCGTGGCTACTCGGACGCGGACTGGGCCGGCGACCACGCTGATCGCAAGTCGACTTCGGGTTACACTTTCATGCTGATGGGTGCTCCTGTGAGTTGGGGAAGCAAGAAGCAGTCAAGTGTGTCGCTGTCGACGAGTGAAGCGGAATAAATCGCACTGAGTCTGGCCATCCAGGAAGGCAAGTGGGTGCATCGCCTGCTATGCGAGATTTTGGCGGCCGCAAACGAACCAGGACCGGACCTCGTCATCCGTGAAGACAACCAGTCGTGCATCAAGATGACGAAGAATCCGGTGAATCATGGCCGCGCCAAGCACATCGACATCAAGTACCATCACATCCGTGATGAGGTCAAGCACGGTGAAGTGCAGCTCGAGTATTGCGAGACTTCCGTGATGATGGCGGACATCATGACCAAGGGACTTTCGGGACCTCGTCACAAGGACTTGACGACGGCTCTCGGCATTCGTGCGAGTTCGGATTGAGGGGGCGTGTTGACGGTCATCGGTTTCTACCAGTATTGGTAACCGTGACCGGTCCAATCCGAACCGCCTGTTCAGCTTAGTATTTACGACGTAGTTCTTACGGTAATTACCATAGTTGATTAGACGCGTAGGATGATGAGACGCTTCACATGATTTATATGTACACCACATATAAATCATGTAGTAAGTAGTAAGCCCCGATAATCAATCACTTTCCAATCTTCCATCTACCCCCAAGTGTCTTCTCCGGTCTTCTGAGTGGACTCTCAGCATCCCTCCCAGTTTCGGTCGTCAAGCTCTTCACCCATCAACAGCAAGCAAGACATTCAGCACCGAGCACTAGCTCTACCAATGCACGTATTGTGGTAAGGTGGGACACACGGTGGATCGTTTCTGGACAAAGCAGGAGAACGAAGGTCGAGGAGCACGACGCGGCGGCAATGGTCGTGGACGCGGGGCTATAACGTTCAGTGGGTAAATAATGATGAAGCCAATGGCTACGATTGAGTGACGTTTGCAGTCTCGTTCAAGTGTGGAGTTTCGACGAGCAAGGACTTTTCTAGAATTTGGGCCGTCGATAGTGGTGCAACGCACTACATTTGCCACGACAAGACTAAGCTCGCAAGTTTGGCAGAGCGCAATGACGGCGAACTCTTGGTGGCTGATGGCAACAAGGTGGCCATCAAGGGTGTGGGAACCATCATGGAAAAGGTGGTTCTGCCTAACGGTGAAAAGCGCGAGATCGAGATCAAGAACGCGTTATGTGTCCCAAGTATAAGCGAGAACCTGCTTTCGATGCCATAGATTAACAGGCATGGCAAGTTCCAAGTCATTTTTGACGGGTCCAAGATGTTTGTGACTCGCAAGAACTCACAGAAAGTGGTGGCGACAGCGGATCTCGTGGATGGACTTCACTGGCTTCGTACAACTCAGCGATCAGCAAATGTGACATTAAGTGGAAACAGTTGTGCTGATCTACATGCGCAAATGGGTCACGCTCCACTCGACGTACTTCGCAAGATGGTCATGACCAACGTGATCAAGGATATTATTGTCCCTCTTAAGTCGAATGGAGCACCTGCATGTCGAGGGTGCCAACAAGGGAAAATAATCCAAAAACCATTCCCAAGCAAACGCGACAAGCGTAACTAAGATACGTTCGAGCTGATTCACCTGGACATATGGGGCCCATGGAAAACGATTCGCTCGGTGCCAGCAGATATTTGCTACTGATCGTAGACGAAGCCAGTGGATGTATAAAGGGCTTGTCTTTTCGAGTGAAGTCCGAGAGTGAAGACTACATCCGTAAGTACATCACTATGGTACAGACGCAGTTCAGTAAGAAGGTCAAGTTTGTGCGACACTACGGAGCTTGCGAGCTCGCAACCAACTCGCTTCGTATTTTCATCGAAGACGAAGGCATTGAACAGCAGACAACAGTTTCATGTACACTTCAAACCGACGGAACATCAGAGCGTGCCATTAGGACTATCGTCACGATCGGCCGCAGCATGCTTCATCATGCCAAACTGAACAAGTGTTTCTGGGCTGAAGCAGCAATGACGGTCATCTACGTCAAGAATCGCCTACCGTCACCTAGAGTCGTACACAAGACCCCGTTTGAGATCGTGTACAACTCCAAGCGAAGTTTCAAGCACATGCGAGTATTTGGATGTCAGACGTACATACTGACTCCAAAGGAGAAGCGACTCAAGTGGGATCCAAAGGCTCGCGCTGGCATATTCGTGGGATACGAAGAAGTTTCGAAGGCATATCGTGTTTATGACATCAAGGCGGTGAAGGTGGTTATCAGTCGCGATGTCAGCTTTGACGAGTCCACCTTTGGACTTCCGCCACCGATCCCTGATGAAGATGCCGATGACCTGGACTTCGAATTGCTTGACCTCAATGATGAAGAGCCGCGTCTGGTGGAGTACAAGCAAACAGGCAAGCGCAAAAACCGCCTCAGTGATGAAGATACAGCAGCTCCACGACCGCGTGCAGTGCGTCAACGATCTGGACTTGAAAAGTCAAGCGCGCCGGAAAGCAACTCGTCACGCCAAGAAGAAGACGAAGAAACGAAGGATTCTGATGAATCAACTCCGCCTGTGTTTTGTTGTGCGAGTGCGAATGCCGTTGAAACAGCAGCGGACTTATTGAAGCCCTCAACATTTGAGGCGGCAGTGAGCGGCCTTGACCAAGTTTATTGATCAAGCTATTCATGCAGAGCTTGAGTCAACGCGACTTCGCAGTGTGGTTAGTGCAGCCAAGCTTCCCAACGGACAACGCGCCATTGGCACAAAATGGGTGTTCAAGATCAAGATCAAGGCAGGTGGTTCAATCGAGAAGTACTAAACACGACTTGTGGCCAAGGGCTTTCGCCAAAAGTATGGCATCGACTACACTATTGAGGGTTACCGGTACAATCCGAACCTAGCGCGTAGTTCTTACGAGATAGTTTTTACATCGGTAATTACCTCAGAGATGGTTAGACGCGTAGGATGATTGGACGCGTGTAAATCAGGTTGATTAGATGCACCATGTGATTGGATGCAGTCTAGGGTAGGCAGAAGTTAAGACCTATAAATCAATCACTTTTGAATCCTCCCTCAAGTGAGCAAGTGTTCTCTGCTTCGTTCTCTCCGGTCTCTCCGCTTCGTTTTCTCTTCGCCTCGCGCTCAAGATACAACAGGTTATGAGCCCAAGCGCCATGTCGTCCAACAACACCTCGGCCAGTGTCTCCATCGATAAGTTCGATGGGGACAACTACTCAACCTGGTGTCGCTACATGCGCGGCGTGTTTCTGACGAAGTCAGTCTGGTACGTCGTGAACCGCGAAACGTCTCCAACCTTCACCGACACGCGAGCTTCCGACGAGTACGTCAAGGCGAGCAACATCGCGTTTGGACTGATGTTGCTCCACATGGACGCCGACTACCACCATGTGGTCGACAACTGTGAAGAAGCATGGACAGCGTGGTCGCGGTTGAAGATGCTCTATGGTGGGTCGCAGAAGGCGGGACGCATCTACCTCAAGCGCCAGCTGTTCAGCATCAAGATGGCGGAAGGTGCCAACGTCTTGCACCATTGCAACGAAGTCTTGAACATCGGCGCCAAGCTCAGCAGCATCGGTGCCAAGATGGAAGACGAAGACATTGCGATCTGCTTGCTGCTCAGTCTCCCGAAGAGTTTCGAGAACGTGGTTCTGAACTTGGAGATGAGCAATGCAGAGCTGCGCACGCAAGATGTGGTCAAGGTACTGACTAACGAGCACATCAAGCGACAAGGCGAGAAGATGACGATGGCAACGACAACGGTGAAGACTGAAGATGCGACAAAGGCATTCAGTACCAAGCGCAAGCCCTACCAATGCACATACTGTGGCAAGGTGGGGCACACGGCAGAGCGTTGCTGGACGAAGCAAAAGGATGAAAGTCGAGGAGCCCAACGCGGCGGCAATGGTCGTGGACGCGGGGCAAACAATGTCCAGTGGCGACATTATGATGAAGGCAACAGCTACGATCGAGTGGCGTTTGCAGTTTCGTTCGAATGCGGAGTTTCGACGAACAAGAATGGACCAGGAATGTGGGCCGTTGACAGCGGGGCAACACATCACATCTGCCACGACAAGTTCAAGTTTGCAAGCTTGGTCGAAGGCAATGATGGCGAGATCCTGGTGGCTGATGGCAACAAGGCGGCCATCAAAGGTGTGGGGACCATCGTGGAAAAGGTGATTCTGCCAAACGGGGAAGAGCGCGAGATCGAGATCAAGAACGCGCTCTATGTGCCCAGCATGAGCAAAAATCTGCTCTCGGTGCCGCAGATTAACAAGCACGGCAACTTCCAAGTGGTGTTTGACGGGGATACGATGTACGTCGCTCGCAAGGATTCCAATCAAGTGGTGGCAGCTGCGGATCTTGTAGACGGACTCTACTGGCTTCGCACGACGCAGCGATCGGCCAATGCGACATCACTCAGCAACGCTGTTGATCTACATGCGCGAATGGGCCATGCTCCAGTCGACGTGCTTCGCAGGATGGTGACAAGCCACATGATCAAGGACGCTCACATCCCTTCCAAGCCGAATGGATCAAGTGTGTGTCGAGGATGCCAAGAAGGGAAGATGGTCCAAAAACCATTCCCGAGCAACCGTGACAAGCGCACCTACAACACCTTCGAGATGCTCCACTTCGACATCTGCGGACCCATGGAAGAAAAATCTCTGGGTGGCAGCAAGTATCTGCTGCTGATCGTGGATGAAGCCAGCGGATGCATGAAGGGTTTTTGTCTGCATTCCAAGTCAGAGAGCGAAGAGTGCATCAAGAAGTACATCACGATGATACAGACGCAGTTCAACAAGAAGGTCAAGTTTGTGCGACACGATGGTGTTGAAAAGACAGCGGCTGTAAAGAAGACACCTCGTCAAGCTGCGTCAAGTGTTGAAGCAAGTGGAAGACCAAGCCTCGCTATACCGGTGGGTACCGGTATGTACCAGTAAGGGCGAAGTCAGGAAATGACGTCACTGGATGACGTCATTGCATGACGTCAGTGGGTGACGTCAGTGGGTGACGTCACTGGATGACGTCACTGCGAATAATAGGCTTAGAGGTAGTATTCAAAGTTGCGAACTAAGTACCTATTATAAATATATATTCACTTTGCGTTTTGCACTCGGACCAAGAAGTCTAAAGTTCATCAGGTTATGAGCCCAAATTCGTCAGACTCTGAAACCGCCAACAATTCAAGCTTAGCTGCCATGGACGCCTCCTCCCTCCGCATCTCCAAGTTCGATGGAACTAACTTCCACGCCTGGAAGTTCAAGATGCAGATGGTGCTGGAGGAACGGGACCTATGGGAGGTCGTCAGCGGTGAGATCAAGGCGGAACAGTGCGAGACTCAGTTGGACCAAGCGACGTACAAGAGGAAGTCAAGAAAGGCGATGGCAGTGATCTGTCTAGCCATGGAAGATTCCCAGCTACCGTTGGTCCGGTCGGCAAGTGGTGCATGCGACGCATGGTCAAGGTTGGAAGACCACTTCGAGAAGAAGAGTCTTGCCAACAAGCTGTTCTTGCGCCGTCGCTTCTTCACGACAATGATGGAAGAAGGCGACGATGTGCTCGAACACATCAACAAGCTCAAGACGCTGGCGGAACAGCTAGAAGCGGTGGGGGCTCCAGTCTGCGAGGACGATCTGGTGATCACACTCCTCGGCAGCCTGAGTGACTCGTATCAATTCTTGATCACAGCTTTGGAGTCGCGCTCAGACACTCTTAGCTGGGAGCTCGTGACGTCTCGACTGCTTCATGAAGAAATGAAGCGGAAGGAGCAAGGAAGTAAAGGTGATGAAGCTTCGCAAGGTCAAGCGTTCATCACAAGGGACAATCAGCGCAAAGGGCGACCAGTGAAGAAGTCCTGGCCGTGCCACAATTGCGGAAAGATTGGTCACTGGATGGCGGAGTGCCCCTCGCGCATCCAAGAAAACACGGAGAGACACCGGCCACAGCGTGCTCAAGACAGCGGCGACCGCTATCGATCACAACGTGCAAACGTCGCTCAAGAAGAAGACTCGGGCGACTACCTCTTTTCGATCGGTGAAACGACATCTGCGAAATCGAGCGACATCTGGCTGGTCGACTCCGGGGCGACGCAGCACATGACGTGCTCCAAGAAGTTCATGCGGAACTACAAGGGGTTTGACGCTGTGGATGTCCATCTCGCGGATGATGGAATCGTCCAAGCAATCGGCAGTGGGGACATTGTCATGTCGATGAAGACACCCCAAGGGATGAAGAAAGGTGTGCTCACAAACGTGTGGCACATCCCAAAGTTATCCAGAAACCTGTTCTCGGTCGGCCGCTTCACCAAGGATGTCGGCCCAGTGACGTTCACGAAGGATGGGTGCTATGGAGAAGCGAAAGGGACCAAGTGGAAAATTGGTGCCCGTGAAGGTAAAGGACTGTTCAAGCTGCAAATGACTCCAGTGGCGCCGGAACAAGCAAATGCAGCCAAGTCGTCGGGATGTCAAGGGGGCACCAAGTCGTACCTCTGGCACCTTCGGCTTGGCCACATAGGTCACGATGGACTCAATTGCATCGTGACGAAGAACATTGGAATTGGCATCGACATATCTTCGGTGAAGAAGTGGGACGTTTGTGAAGGTTGTGCTCTGGGAAAACAGACTCGAGTGCGCTTCCAATCAAACACTACAGCTCGCACCTCCAAACTCCTCGAAGTGATTCACAGCGACGTATGCGGACCGATGTCGATGGCAACTTTCAGTGGAAAACGGTACTTCGTGACATTCATTGATGACAAGTCAAGATACTGTGTCGTCTATCTGCTCAAGAGCAAATCTGAAGTTGCGGCGAAGTTCATGGAATACGCTGCGATGGCCGAAACGCAAACCGGAAAGCGCGTGAAGTACCTTCAAAGCGACAATGGGGGTGAATACAAGTCCGACAAGCTGGCACGATTCTGCGCGGAACGGGGAATACAACAAAGGTTCACACCCCCATATACTCCTCAGCTAAACGGAGTAGCTGAGAGAATGAATCGCACGCTGGTCGAGTGTGCGCGTTGCATGATGGAACACGCTGGACTGGGAAAGAGCTACTGGGGTGAAGCAGTGATGACGGCGATGTTTCTTCGAAACCGCTGTCCAACACGTGCCATTCACCAAGACAAGTCTCCATATCAAGTGTGGACGATGAAGAAACCGATTCTGGCCAACCTTAAAGTGTTTGGATGCCACGCGTATGTTCAAGTGCCTCAAGACAAACGCGCGAAGTTCGACTCCAAGTCATCACTCTGTCGTTTCCTGGGATACGCCGAACACCAGAAGTCATATCGATTTGAGGAAGTGTCAACAGGAGCGATCAAGATCAGTCGCGATGCCACATTCATGGAAGACAAGTTTGATGAAGGTCCGCGCAACTACAACGATGAGTCAAGTGTCGTTGAGTTTGATGATCATGATGAGGACGAAGAAAAAGAAGAAGGTAAAACTGACGACGACATGGACTCGAGCGACGATGACAACGAAGACACCAGGTCTTCGAAGAGCAACATCAAGAGACACACGCGCACTCAATCACTTGAGAAAGCTACCGTCATTCCAAGTCCCAAGCGAAGAACATACAGAGGTCCGTCGCTTGAGCATGTGTCAGCGGCTGCAATGGATTTTGAAGCAGCCTACATCGTTGATTCAGTGGGGGAAACGCCGACTACATTCAAGTCGGCGATGGAATCAAGCGACTCCGGCAAGTGGAAAGAAGCGTGTGACTCGGAGTTCGACTCGCTTCAGAGAAACGACACGTGGGAAATCGTGCCTCTTCCGAAAGGTCGCAAGGCCATCGGGTGCCGATGGGTTTTTCGTGTAAAGGAGAATCAAGATGGCGAAGTTGAACGTTTCAAGGCAAGACTTGTGGCCAAAGGATTCTCACAGAAATTCGGAGTTGACTATGAAGAAACTTTCGCACCGGTGGCCAAGTTCACATCGATTCGTGTGGTGCTCAGTATGGCGGCCAAGTACGGCCTAATGCTACATCAGATGGACGTCAAAACAGCGTTTCTTAACGGCTCCCTCAACGAAGACATCTACATGGACCAGCCGGACGGATACCTGGATGCAACACAGCCGGACGGATACCTGGATGCAACACAGCCGGACTATGTGTGCAAGCTAAAGAGATCACTCTACGGCTTGAAGCAATCGCCTCGCATGTGGAACCAAACAATCGATGGGTTCATGATCAAGATGGGATTCAAGAAGTGCGAATCGGACCACTGCATCTACATCAAGCGAGACGACCAAGACATGATTCTCGTGGTGCTCTACGTCGATGATCTCATCCTGGCCAGCAGCAACAACGAACTCCTCAAGTCAACCAAGATGGCGCTGAGCAAACGCTTCGAAATGACGGATCTCGGTGAGCTCGATTACTTTCTCGGCATGGAGATCAAGAACGACCGTAAGACGGGAATGGTGACTGTACAACAAACCAAGTTCCTCAAGTCCGTGTTAACCAAGTTCGGAATGGATAACAGCAAGCCAGTGAAGACGCCTCAAGATCCCGGCCTGAAGCTAACCAAGAACATGTGTGAACAAGAATGCAAGCACGAAGACACCATGTGCAACGTGCCATATCGAAGTGCTGTCGGAGGCATCATGTATCTCATGGTCGCCACACGTCCGGATCTAGCTGCTGCAGTGGGATCATTATCCCAGTTCTCGTCCGACCCATGCCCGACTCACTGGCAAGCTTTGAAGCGTGTGCTGAGATACCTGCAAGCAACGCCCAATCATGGTCTTGAGTTTACACGTGAAGAAGGAAGCCGTATCTGCGGGTACACCGACGCAGACTGGGCCGGCGACATTGAGTCAAGACGAAGTACAAGCGGCTATGTGTTCATGATGAGCGGAGGATGCATCAGCTGGAAAAGCCAGAAACAACGGACGGTCGCGCTATCTTCAACAGAAGCAGAATACATGGCGCTTTCCGAAGCAACCAAAGAAGCAGTATGGCTCAAAGTGCTTTTGGGGGAACTTGGTGAGATGACAAGCGACGAAGCGATCAAGATGTATGAAGACAACCAAGGATCAATCGCTCTCGCCAAGAACCCGGAGTTCCATAAGAGAACAAAACACATCGACATACGCTACCATTTTGTGCGTGAGAAGGTGGAATCAGGTGAAGTCGTTTTGGAGTATTGCCCGACTCAAGATATGCTGGCAGACATGATGACCAAGCCGATCGCCGCTGTACAATTTGAAAACATTCGCGATCGACTTGGGATCCAAGGTGCCGCAGCTAACGAGTCGAGAGGGAGTGTTGAAAAGACAGCGGCTGTAAAGAAGACACCTCGTCAAGCTGCGTCAAGTGTTGAAGCAAGTGGAAGACCAAGCCTCGCTATACCGGTGGGTACCGGTATGTACCAGTAAGGGCGAAGTCAGGAAATGACGTCACTGGATGACGTCATTGCATGACGTCAGTGGGTGACGTCAGTGGGTGACGTCACTGGATGACGTCACTGCGAATAATAGGCTTAGAGGTAGTATTCAAAGTTGCGAACTAAGTACCTATTATAAATATATATTCACTTTGCGTTTTGCACTCGGACCAAGAAGTCTAAAGTTCATCAGATGGAGCCCGCGAGTTTGCGACGAACTCGCTTCAAGATTTCTACGAAGTCGAAGGCATCGAGCAACAAACCACGGTGCCATACGCACATCAAGCCAATGGAACTGCTGAACGCGCGATTCGAACTATCGTCACCATCGGTCGTAGCATGCTCCATCATGCCAAGTTGGACAAGTGCTTCTGGGCTGAAGCGGCAATGACGGCCGTCTATGTGAAGAACCGTTTGCCGTCACCCAAGATTCCACACAAGACACCGTTCGAGATTGTCTACAATTCTAAGCCAAGTGTCAAGCACATGCGCGTTTTTGGGTGCCAAGCATACATCTTGACCCCGAAGGAGAAACGACTCAAGTGGGATCCCAAGGCCCGGGCTGGATTGTTTTTGGGCTACTAAGAAGTGTCCAAGGCGTATCGAGTTTACGACATCGAAGCGGGGCAGGTGATGATAAGTCGCGATGTCAACTTCGATGAGTCGGCCTTTGGACTGTCGATGCTGATTTCCGATGACGATGTTGATGGCCTGGACTTCTAATCGATCGATCTTGATGATGAAGAACCGCGTCCGAGACACTTCAAACAAACAGGAAAGCGCAAGGCCCAACCCAGTCACGACAATGACGACGCAAGCATGCCCCGAGCAGTGCGCCAACGACCCGGATTGGAAGAGTCAAGTGCGCCGGATGACCTCTCTTCACGTCGAGCCAACGAAGATGAAGAAAGGAAGTCGGAGGAACAACATGACACACCGACTTCCTCCGCGTTTTGGCATGCGAGTGCAAACGCCGTCGAAGCAGCGGTCGATTTTTCGGAGCCGTCGACATTTGAAGAAGCAGTGTCTGGCCCGGACCAAGTACACTGGCGCAAGGCAATTGATGCGGAGCTCGATTCGATGAAGCTTCGCGGTGTCTTTCGTGCGGCCAAGTTACCCAACGGACAAAGCGCCATCGGCACAAAGTGGGTCTTCAAGATCAAGCGCAAGGCGGATGGGTTGATCGAGAAATACAAGGCACGACTTGTGGCCAAGGGTTTTCGCCAAAAGTATGGCATCGACTACACGGAGACGTTCTCGCCCGTGGTCAAGTATGTGACGCTGCGAATGGTCATCGCCATTACCAAGCACTTTGGATGGCCCCTCGACCAGCTCGATGTGGTGACTGCGTTCCTGTATGGAGTGATGAAGGAGAAGGTGTTCTGCGCTGTTCCGGAAGGCGTCAAGATGGAAGGTGATTTCGACTGTCTCGAGCTGATCAAGGCGATCTACGGTCTCAAGCAAGCCTCGCGTGTTTGGAACGAGACCTTCGACGAGTTCATACGCTCGATTGGTTTTCAAGCGTCGGGATTCGATCCATGTCTCTACATCATGACTTCGGAAGGCCATTGTGTTTTTGTGCTGGTCTACGTGGACGATGTCTTGGTGACTGGAAGCTCGCTCGAGATGATTGCGCGCACCAAGAACGACCTCAAGACACGCTTCGAGATGACGGACAGCGGCAAGTGTACCTTTGTTCTTGGGATCGAGTTATTGGACGGTGAAGATGGCAGCGTGACTATGTGTCAGCGCCGTTATGTCAATGATGTCCTCAAGCGCTTTGGAATGGATGAGTGCAAGGCTGTGGCAAGTCCGGTGGACGTCAGCTCTCGACTGGTTCCGAGCAACTCTGCAAGCAAGGTGGATGTCCCATTCCGTGAAGCAGTGGGTGCTTTGATGTATCTGACGACTGCAACGCGACCGGACATCGCCTATGCTGTAAGCTTTGTGTCACGGTTCATGGAGAAACCCCAAGAAGAACACTGGGTTGCAGTCAAGCGCATCTTCCGCTACCTACAAGGCACCAAGATGCATGGAGTCTGCTACAAGCCAAGTGCGAAGATCGACTTTCGTGGCTATTCAGATGCAGACTGGGCCGGTGACCTTGCTGATCGCAAATCGACGTCCGGCTACGTCTTCATGCTATTGGGTGCTCCGGTGAGTTGGGGCAGCAAGAAACAGCCAAGTGTGTCACTGTCTACAAGCGAAGCGGAGTACATCGCGCTCAGCCTGGCGATCCAAGAAGGCAAGTGGATCAATCGCTTGCTGTGCGAGATCATGGCGGCTGCAAACGAAGAAGGACCCGAGCTCGTCATCCGTGAAGACAACCAGTCGTGCATCAAGATGACGAAGAATCCGGTCAACCACGGCCGCGCTAAACACATCGACATCAAGTACCGTTACATCCGTGATGAAGTCAAGCGCGGCGAAGTGAAGCTTGAATACTGCGAGACGACGTTGATGTTGGCGGACATCATGACGAAAGGACTTCACGGACCGCGTCACAAGGACTTGACGCGGCGCTTGGCATCCGTGCGTGTTCGGATTGAGGGGGCGTATTGAGGGTTACCGGTACAATCCGAACCTAGCGCGTAGTTCTTACGAGATAGTTTTTACATCGGTAATTACCTCAGAGATGATTAGACGCGTAGGATGATTGGACGCGTGTAAATCAGGTTGATTAGATGCACCATGTGATTGGATGCAGTCTAGGGTAGGCAGAAGTTAAGACCTATAAATCAATCACTTTCGAATCCTCCCTCAAGTGAGCAAGTGTTCTCTGCTTCGTTCTCTCCGGTCTCTCCGCTTCGTTTTCTCTTCGCCTCGCGCTCAAGATACAACATACACGGAGACATTTTCGCTCGTGGTCAAACATGTGACACTGCGAATGGTGATCGCAATTTCCAAGCACTTTGGATGGCTCATCGACCAGCACGATGTGGTGACGGCTTTCCTGTATAGCTTCATGAAGGAACAAGTGCTCTGTGTGATTCCTGAAGGCGTTGAGCTTGATAGTAAGTTCGACTGCCTGGAATTGGTGAAGTCAATTTGCGGCCTCAAGCAAGCGTCGCGAGTGTGGAATGCGACATTCGACGAGTTTGTGTACTCCATTGGATTTCAAGTATCGGACTTCGACCCATGTCTCTACATCAATACTTCGGTTGGCCATCGTGTGTTTGTACTGGTCTATGTGGATGACGTGTTGGTGACAGGAAGCTCACCCAAGTCGAGTGATTGCACACACCAAGGAAGACCTGAAGACACGCTTCGAGATGACTGATAGCGGCAAGTGTGCATTTGCTCTTGGGATTGAGATTCTGGACGGTGAAGACGGCAGTGTGTCTATGTGTCAGCGCCGTTATGTCAATGATATCCTCAAGTGCTTTGGAATGGAGGAGTGCAAGGCTGTGGCGAGTCCTGTGGATGTCAGCTCTCGACTGATGTCAAGCAACAGTGCGAGCAAGATCGATGTTCCATTCCGTGAAGCTGTTGGTGCTTTGATGCATCTGACGACTACAACAAGACCGGACATCGCCTATGCTGTGAGCTTTGTGTCGCGCTTCACGGAAAATCCCCAAGAAGAACACTGGGTTGCGGTCAAGCGCTTCTTTCGATACCTGGAGAATCCCCAAGACGAATAATGGTTTGCGGTCAAGCTCATTATTTGATACCTACAAGGCGCCAAGATGCATGGAATTTGCTACAAGCCAAGTGCGAAGATCGACTTTCGTGGCTATTCAGATGCAGACTGGGCCGGTGACCTTGCTGATCGCAAATCGACGTCCGGCTACGTCTTCATGCTATTGGGTGCTCCAGTGAGTTGGGGCAGCAAGAAGCAGCCAAGTGTGTCACTGTCTGCAATTGAAGCGGAGTACATTGCGCTTGAGTCTGGCGATTCAAGAAGACAAGTGGATCCACTGCTTACTATGCGAGATCATGGCGGCTACTAACGAGGACAGACCCGAGCTCATGATCCGTGAAGACGAATAGCCTCGCATCAAATGACCTAGAATCCAGTCAATCACGGCCGCGCCATACACATTGATATCAAGTACCACCACACTCGCGGTGAAGTGAAGCTTAAATACTGCAAAACGACGGTGATGATGGCCGACATTATGACCAAGGGACTTCACCGACCGCGCCACATGGAATTAACGGCGGCGCTAGGCATCTGTCCGCGTTCGGATTGAGGGGGCGTGTTGACGGTCATCGGTTTTCTACCAGTATTGGTAACCGTGACCGGTTCAATCCGAACCAACTGCTCAGCTTATTATTTACGACGTAGTTCTTACGATAATTATCCATAGTTGGTCAGACGAGTAAGATGACGAGAAGCTTCACATAATTTACATGTACACCACATTTAAATTATGTAGTCAGTAGTAAGCCCCGATAATCAATCACTTTCGAATATTTCAACAAGTGAGCAAGTATCTTCTGCTCACGTCGGTCTCTCCGCTCCCTTCGATCCGCTCTCTGCCATGCAAACAGGTTATGAGTCCAAGCGCCATGTCGTCTGCCACCAACGTATCATCCGACGTCTTCATTGATAAGTTCAATGGAGACAACTATGCGACTAGGGGTCGATACGTGCGCGGTGTGTTTTTGACGAAGTCCGTCTGACACGTCGTAAATTGTGAAGCGACTCCGACTTTCACCGACCCGCGAGCGTCCGATGAATACATCAAATCGAGCAACGTCGCATTTGGTATGATGCTGCTACACATAAATGCAAATTACCACCATGTGCTTGACAACTGCGAGGAAGCGTGGGTTGCGTGGACACCTCTGAAGATGCTGTACGGTGGGTTGCAGAAGGCAGGACTCATCTTCCTCAAGCGACAACTTTTCAGCATCAAGACGACTGAAGGTGCAGACGTCACGCACCACTGCAATGAAGTCCTCAACATCTCCTCCAAGCTTAGCGGCATCGGTGCGAAGATGGAAGACGAAGACGTTGCAATCTGTCTGCTGCTCAGTCTTCCGAAGAGCTACGAAAATGTGGTGCTCAACATGGAAATGAGCAGCGCCGAGCTTCGTACCCAAGATGTGGTAAGAGTGCTGATGAATGAGCACGCCAAGCGTCAAGGAGAAAAAAAAGGACAGCAACGGCGACTACGGTGAAGGCTGAAGATGCAAGCAAGACATTCAGCACCGAGCACTAGCTCTACCAATGCACGTATTGTGGTAAGGTGGGACACACGGTGGATCGTTTCTGGACAAAGCAGGAGAACGAAGGTCGAGGAGCACGACGCGGCGGCAATGGTCGTGGACGCGGGGCTATAACGTTCAGTGGGTAAATAATGATGAAGCCAATGGCTACGATCGAGTGACGTTTGCAGTCTCGTTCAAGTGTGGAGTTTCGACGAGAAAGGACGTGTTTGGAATGGGGACCGTCGATAGTGGTGCAACGCACCACATTTGCCACGACAAGACCAAGCTCGCAAGTTTGGCAGAGCGCAATGACGGCGAACTCTTGGTGGCTGATGGCAACAAGGTGGCCATCAAGGGTGTGGGAACCATCATGGAAAAGGTGGTTCTGCCTAACGGTGAAAAGCGCGAGATCGAGATCAAGAACGCGTTATGTGTCCCAAGTATAAGCAAGAACCTGCTTTCGATGCCATAGATTAACAGACATGGCAAGTTCCAAGTCATTTTTGACGGGTCCAAGATGTTTGTGACTCGCAAGAACTCACAGAAAGTGGTGGCGACAGCGGATCTCGTGGATGGACTTCACTGGCTTCGTACAACTCAGCGATCAGCAAATGTGACATTAAGTGGAAACAGTTGTGCTGATCTACATGCGCAAATGGGTCACGCTCCACTCGACGTACTTCGCAAGATGGTCATGACCAACGTGATCAAGGATATTATTGTCCCTCTTAAGTCGAATGGAGCACCTGCATGTCGAGGGTGCCAACAAGGGAAAATAATCCAAAAACCATTCCCAAGCAAACGCGACAAGCGTAACTAAGATACGTTCGAGCTGATTCACCTGGACATATGGGGCCCATGGAAAACGATTCGCTCGGTGCCAGCAGATAATTGCTACTGATCGTAGACGAAGCCAGTGGATGTATAAAGGGCTTGTCTTTTCGAGTGAAGTCCGAGAGTGAAGACTACATCCGTAAGTACATCACTATGGTACAGACGCAGTTCAGTAAGAAGGTCAAGTTTGTGCGACACTACGGAGCTTGCGAGCTCGCAACCAACTCGCCTCGTATTTTCATCGAAGACGAAGGCATTGAACAGCAGACAACGGTTTCATGTACACTTCAAACCGACGGAACATCAGAGCGTGCCATTAGGACTATCGTCACGATCGGCCGCAGCATGCTTCATCATGCCAAACTGAACAAGTGTTTCTGGGCTGAAGCAGCGATGACGGCCATCTACGTCAAGAATCTGTTGTATCTTGAGCGCGAGGCGAAGAGAAAACGAAGCGGAGAGACCGGAGAGAACGAAGCAGAGAACACTTGCTCACTTGAGGGAGGATTCGAAAGTGATTGATTTATAGGTCTTAACTTCTGCCTACCCTAGACTGCATCCAATCACATGGTGCATCTAATCAACCTGATTTACACGCGTCCAATCATCCTACGCGTCTAATCATCTCTGAGGTAATTACCGATGTAAAAACTGTCTCGTAAGAACTACGCGCTAGGTTCGGATTGTACCGATAACCCTCAATACGCCCCCTCAATGCGAACTCGCATGGATGCCAAGCGCCGCCGTCAAGTCCTTGTGACGCGGTCCGTGAAGTCCTTTCGTCATGATGTCCGCCAACATCAACGTCGTCTCGCAGTATTCAAGCTTCACTTCGCCGCGCTTGACTTCATCACGGATGTGACGGTACTTGATGTCGATGTGTTTAGCGCGGCCATGGTTGACCGGATTCTTCGTCATCTTGATGCACGACTGGTTGTCTTCACGGATGACGAGCTCGGGTCCTTCTTCGTTTGCAGCCGCCATGATCTCGCACAGCAAGCGATTGATCCACTTGCCTTCTTGGATCGCCAGGCTGAGCGCGATGTACTCCGCTTCGCTTGTAGACAGTGACACACTTGGCTGTTTCTTGCTGCCCCAACTCACCGGAGCACCCAATAGCATGAAGACGTAGCCGGACGTCGATTTGCGATCAGCAAGGTCACCGGCCCAGTCTGCATCTGAATAGCCACGAAAGTCGATCTTCGCACTTGGCTTGTAGCAGACTCCATGCATCTTGGTGCCTTGTAGGTAGCGGAAGATGCGCTTGACTGCAACCCAGTGTTCTTCTTGGGGTTTCTCCATGAACCGTGACACAAAGCTTACAGCATAGGCGATGTCCGGTCGCGTTGCAGTCGTCAGATACATCAAAGCACCCACTGCTTCACGGAATGGGACATCCACCTTGCTTGCAGAGTTGCTCGGAACCAGTCGAGAGCTGACGTCCACCGGACTTGCCACAGCCTTGCACTCATCCATTCCAAAGCGCTTGAGGACATCATTGACATAACGGCGCTGACACATAGTCACGCTGCCATCTTCACCGTCCAATAACTCGATCCCAAGAACAAAGGTACACTTGCCGCTGTCCGTCATCTCGAAGCGTGTCTTGAGGTCGTTCTTGGTGCGCGCAATCATCTCGAGCGAGCTTCCAGTCACCAAGACATCGTCCACGTAGACCAGCACAAAAACACAATGGCCTTCCGAAGTCATGATGTAGAGACATGGATCGAATCCCGACGCTTGAAAACCAATCGAGCGTATGAACTCGTCGAAGGTCTCGTTCCAAACACGCGAGGCTTGCTTGAGACCGTAGATCGCCTTGATCAGCTCGAGACAGTCGAAATCACCTTCCATCTTGACGCCTTCCGGAACAGCGCAGAACACCTTCTCCTTCATCACTCCATACAGGAACGCAGTCACCACATCGAGCTGGTCGAGGGGCCATCCAAAGTGCTTGGTAATGGCGATGACCATTCGCAGCGTCACATACTTGACCACGAGCGAGAACGTCTCCGTGTAGTCGATGCCATACTTTTGGCGAAAACCCTTGGCCACAAGTCGTGCCTTGTATTTCTCGATCGACCCATCCGCCTTGCGCTTGATCTTGAAGACCCACTTTGTGCCGATGGCGCTTTGTCCGTTGGGTAACTTGGCCGCACGAAAGACACCGCGAAGCTTCATCGAATCGAGCTCCGCATCAATTGCCTTGCGCCAGTGTACTTGGTCCGGGCCAGACACTGCTTCTTCAAATGTCGACGGCTCCGAAAAAATCGACCGCTGCTTCGACGGCATTTGCACTCGCATGCCAAAACGCGGAGGAAGTCGGTGTGTCATGTTGTTCCTCCGACTTCCTTTCTTCATCTTCGTTGGCTCGACGTGAAGAGAGGTCATCCGGCGCACTTGACTCTTCCAATCCGGGTCGTTGGCGCACTGCTCGGGGCATGCTTGCGTCGTCATTGTCGTGACTGGGTTGGGCCTTGCGCTTTCCTGTATGTTTGAAGTGTCTCGGACGCGGTTCTTCATCATCAAAATCGATCGATTCGAAGTCCAGGCCATCAACATCGTCATCGGAAATCAGCATCGACAGTCCAAAGGCCGACTCATCGAAGTTGACATCGCGACTTATCATCACCTGCCCCGCTTCGATGTCGTAAACTCGATACACTTTTAAAACTTCTTCGTATCCCATGAACACACCTGCACGAGCCTTGGCATCCCACTTGAGTCGTTTCTCCTTCGGGGTCAAGATGTATGCTTGGCACCCAAAAACGCGCATGTGCTTGACACTTGGCTTAGAATTGTAGACAATCTCGAACGGTGTCTTGTGTGGAATCTTGGGTGACGGCAAACGGTTCTTCACATAGACGGCCGTCATTGACGCTTCAGCCCAGAAGCACTTGTTCAACTTGGCATGATGTAGCATGCTACGACCGATGGTGACGATAGTTCGAATCGCGCGTTCAGCAGTTCCATTGGCTTGATGTGCGTATGGCACCGTGGTTTGTTGCTCGATGCCTTCGACTTCGTAGAAATCTTGAAGCGAGTTCGTCGCAAACTCGCAAGCTCGTCGTGGCGCACAAAACTTGACCTTCTTGCTGAACTGCGTCTGCATCATCGTGATGTACTTCTTGATGCAATCTTCGCTCTCTGACTTGGAATGCAGACAAAAACCCTTCATGCATCCGCTGGCTTCATCCACGATCAGCAGCAGATACTTGCTGCCACCCAGAGATTTTTCTTCCATGGGTCCGCAGATGTCGAAGTGGAGCATCTCGAAGGTGTTGTAGGTGCGCTTGTCACGGTTGCTCGGGAATGGTTTTTGGACCATCTTCCCTTCTTGGCATCCTCGACACACACTTGATCCATTCGGCTTGGAAGGGATGTGAGCGTCCTTGATCATGTGGCTTGTCACCATCCTGCGAAGCACGTCGACTGGAGCATGGCCCATTCGCGCATGTAGATCAACAGCGTTGCTGAGTGATGTCGCATTGGCCGATCGCTGCGTCGTGCGAAGCCAGTAGAGTCCGTCTACAAGATCCGCAGCTGCCACCACTTGATTGGAATCCTTGCGAGCGACGTACATCGTATCCCCGTCAAACACCACTTGGAAGTTGCCGTGCTTGTTAATCTGCGGCACCGAGAGCAGATTTTTGCTCATGCTGGGCACATAGAGCGCGTTCTTGATCTCGATCTCGCGCTCTTCCCCGTTTGGCAGAATCACCTTTTCCACGATGGTCCCCACACCTTTGATGGCCGCCTTGTTGCCATCAGCCACCAGGATCTCGCCATCATTGCCTTCGACCAAGCTTGCAAACTTGAACTTGTCGTGGCAGATGTGATGTGTTGCCCCGCTGTCAACGGCCCACATTCCTGGTCCATTCTTGTTCGTCGAAACTCCGCATTCGAACGAAACTGCAAACGCCACTCGATCGTAGCTGTTGCCTTCATCATAATGTCGCCAGTGGACATTGTTTGACCCGCGTCGACGACCATTGCCGCCGCGTTGGGCTCCTCGACTTTCATCCTTTTGCTTCGTCCAGCAACGCTCTGCCGTGTGCCCCACCTTGCCACAGTATGTGCATTGGTAGGGCTTGCGCTTGGTACTGAATGCCTTTGTCGCATCTTCAGTCTTCACCGTTGTCGTTGCCATCGTCATCTTCTCGCCTTGTCGCTTGATGTGCTCGTTAGTCAGTACCTTGACCACATCTTGCGTGCGCAGCTCTGCATTGCTCATCTCCAAGTTGAGAACCACGTTCTCGAAACTATTGGGCAGACTGCGCAGTAAGCAGATCGCAATGTCTTCGTCTTCCATCTTGGCACCGATGCTGCTGAGCTTGGCGCCGATGTTCAAGACTTCGTTGCAATGGTGCAAGACGTTGGCACCTTCCGCCATCTTGATGCTGAACAGCTGGCGCTTGAGGTAGATGCGTCCCGCCTTCTGCGACCCACCATAGAGCATCTTCAACCGCGACCACGCTGTCCATGCTTCTTCACAGTTGTCGACCACACGGTGGTAGTCGGCGTCCATGTGGAGCAACATCAACCCGAACGCGATGTTGCTCGCCTTGACGTACTCGTCGGAAGCTCGCGTGTCGGTGAAGGTTGGAGACGTTTCGCGGTTCACGACGTACCAGACTGACTTCGTCAGAAACACGCCGCGCATGTAGCGACACCAGGTTGAGTAGTTGTCCCCATCGAACTTATCGATGGAGACACTGGCCGAGGTGTTGTTGGACGACATGGCGCTTGGGCTCATAACCTGTTGTAACTTGAGCGCGAGGCGAAGAGAAAACGAAGCGGAGAGACCGGAGAGAACGAAGCAGAGAACACTTGCTCACTTGAGGGAGGATTCGAAAGTGATTGATTTATAGGTCTTAACTTCTGCCTACCCTAGACTGCATCCAATCACATGGTGCATCTAATCAACCTGATTTACACGCGTCCAATCATCCTACGCGTCTAATCATCTCTGAGGTAATTACCGATGTAAAAACTATCTCGTAAGAACTACGCGCTAGGTTCGGATTGTACCGGTAACCCTCAATAGAATCGACTGCCGTCACCTAGAGTCGTACACAAGACCCTGTTTGAGATCGCCTACAACTTGAAACCAAGCGCCAAGCACATGCGAACATTCGGGTGTCAGACGCACATACTGACGCCAAAGGAGAATCGACTCAAGTGGGATCCAAAGGCTCGCGCTGGCATATTCGTGGGATACGAAGAAGTTTCGAAGGCATATCGTGTTTATGACATCAAGGCGGTGAAGGTGGTTATCAGTCGCGATGTCAGCTTTGACGAGTCCACCTTTGGACTTCCGCCACCGATCCCTGATGAAGATGCCGATGACCTGGACTTCGAATTGCTTGACCTCAATGATGAAGAGCCGCGTCTGGTGGAGTACAAGCAAACAGGCAAGCGCAAAAACCGCCTCAGTGATGAAGATACAGCAGCTCCACGACCGCGTGCAGTGCGTCAACGATCTGGACTTGAAAAGTCAAGCGCGCCGGAAAGCAACTCGTCACGCCAAGAAGAAGACGAAGAAACGAAGGATTCTGATGAATCAACTCCGCCTGTGTTTTGTTGTGCGAGTGCGAATGCCGTTGAAACAGCAGCGGACTTATTGAAGCCCTCAACATTCGAGGCGGCAGTGAGCGGCCTTGACCAAGTTTATTGATCAAGCTATTCATGCAGAGCTTGAGTCAACGCGACTTCGCAGTGTGGTTAGTGCAGCCAAGCTTCCCAACGGACAACGCGCCATTGGCACAAAATGGGTGTTCAAGATCAAGATCAAGGCAGGTGGTTCAATCGAGAAGTACTAAACACGACTTGTGGCCAAGGGCTTTCGCCAAAAGTATGGCATCGACTACACGGAGACATTTTCGCTCGTGGTCAAACATGTGACACTGCGAATGGTGATCGCAATTTCCAAGCACTTTGGATGGCTCATCGACCAGCACGATGTGGTGACGGCTTTCCTGTATAGCTTCATGAAGGAACAAGTGCTCTGTGTGATTCCTGAAGGCGTTGAGCTCGATAGTAAGTTCGACTGCCTGGAATTGGTGAAGTCAATTTGCGGCCTCAAGCAAGCGTCGTGAGTGTGGAATGAGACTTTTGACGAGTGTGTGTTCCATTGGATTTCAAGTGTCAGGCTTCGACCCATGTCTCTACATCAAGACTTCGGACGGCCATTGTGTGTTTGTACTGGTCTATGTGGATGACGTGTTGGTGACAGGAAGCTCACCCAAGTTGATTGCACACACCAAGGAAGACCTGAAGACACGCTTCGAGATGACTGATAGCGGCAAGTGTGCATTTGTTCTTGGAATTGAGCTTCTGGACGGTGAAGACGGCAGTGTGTCTATGTGTCAGCGCCGTTATGTCAATGATATCCTCAAGTGCTTTGGAATGGAGGAGTGCAAGGCTGTGGCGAGTCCTGTGGATGTCAGCTCTCGACTGATGTCAAGCAACAGTGCGAGCAAGATCGATGTTCCATTCCGTGAAGCTGTTGGTGCTTTGATGCATCTGACGACTACAACAAGACCGGACATCGCCTATGCTGTGAGCTTTGTGTCGCGCTTCACGGAAATCCCCAAGAAGAACACTGGGTTGCGGTCAAGCGCTTCTTTCGGTACCTGGAGAATCCCCAAGACGAATAATGGTTTGCGGTCAAGCTCATTATTTGATACCTACAAGGCGCCAAGATGCATGGAATTTGCTACAAGCCAAGTGTGAAGATCGACTTTCGTGGCTATTCGGACGCAGACTGGGCCGCCGACCTTTCTGATCACAAGTCAACGTCTGGCTACGTCTTCATACTATTGGGTGCTCCAGTGAGTTGGTCCAGCAAGAAGCAGCCAAGTGTGTCACTGTCTGCAATTGAAGCGGAGTACATTGCGCTTGAGTCTGGCGATTCAAGAAGACAAGTGGATCCACTGCTTACTATGCGAGATCATGGCGGCTACTAACGAGGACAGACCCGAGCTCATGATCCGTGAAGACGAATAGCCTTGCATCAAATGACCTAGAATCCAGTCAATCACGGCCGCGCCATACACATTGATATCAAGTACCACCACACTCGCGGTGAAGTGAAGCTTAAATACTGCAAAACGACGGTGATGATGGCCGACATTATGACCAAGGGACTTCACCGACCGCGCCACATGGAATTAACGGCGGCGCTAGGCATCTGTCCGCGTTCGAATTGAGGGGGCGTGTTGACGGTCATCGGTTTTCTACCAGTATTGGTAACCGTGACCGGTTTATTGAGGGTTACCGGTACAATCCGAACCTAGCGCGTAGTTCTTACGAGATAGTTTTTACATCGGTAATTACCTCAGAGATGATTAGACGCGTAGGATGATTGGACGCGTGTAAATCAGGTTGATTAGATGCACCATGTGATTGGATGCAGTCTAGGGTAGGCAGAAGTTAAGACCTATAAATCAATCACTTTCGAATCCTCCCTCAAGTGAGCAAGTGTTCTCTGCTTCGTTCTCTCCGGTCTCTCCGCTTCGTTTTCTCTTCGCCTCGCGCTCAAGTTACAACAGGTTATGAGCCCAAGCGCCATGTCGTCCAACAACACCTCGGCCAGTGTCTCCATCGATAAGTTCGATGGGGACAACTACTCAACCTGGTGTCGCTACATGCGCGGCGTGTTTCTGACGAAGTCAGTCTGGTACGTCGTGAACCGCGAAACGTCTCCAACCTTCACCGACACGCGAGCTTCCGACGAGTACGTCAAGGCGAGCAACATCGCGTTCGGGTTGATGTTGCTCCACATGGACGCCGACTACCACCGTGTGGTCGACAACTGTGAAGAAGCATGGACAGCGTGGTCGCGGTTGAAGATGCTCTATGGTGGGTCGCAGAAGGCGGGACGCATCTACCTCAAGCGCCAGCTGTTCAGCATCAAGATGGCGGAAGGTGCCAACGTCTTGCACCATTGCAACGAAGTCTTGAACATCGGCGCCAAGCTCAGCAGCATCGGTGCCAAGATGGAAGACGAAGACATTGCGATCTGCTTGCTGCTCAGTCTCCCGAAGAGTTTCGAGAACGTGGTTCTGAACTTGGAGATGAGCAATGCAGAGCTGCGCACGCAAGATGTGGTCAAGGTACTGACTAACGAGCACATCAAGCGACAAGGCGAGAAGATGACGATGGCAACGACAACGGTGAAGACTGAAGATGCGACAAAGGCATTCAGTACCGAGCGCAAGCCCTACCAATGCACATACTGCGGCAAGGTGGGGCACACGGCAGAGCGTTGCTGGACGAAGCAAAAGGATGAAAGTCGAGGAGCCCAACGCGGCGGCAATGGTCGTGGACGCGGGGCAAACAATGTCCAGTGGCGACATTATGATGAAGGCAACAGCTACGATCGAGTGGCGTTTGCAGTTTCGTTCGAATGCGGAGTTTCGACGAACAAGAATGGACCAGGAATGTGGGCCGTTGACAGCGGGGCAACACATCACATCTGCCACGACAAGTTCAAGTTTGCAAGCTTGGTCGAAGGCAATGATGGCGAGATCCTGGTGGCTGATGGCAACAAGGCGGCCATCAAAGGTGTGGGGACCATCGTGGAAAAGGTGATTCTGCCAAACGGGGAAGAGCGCGAGATCGAGATCAAGAACGCGCTCTATGTGCCCAGCATGAGCAAAAATCTGCTCTCGGTGCCGCAGATTAACAAGCACGGCAACTTCCAAGTGGTGTTTGACGGGGATACGATGTACGTCGCTCGCAAGGATTCCAATCAAGTGGTGGCAGCTGCGGATCTTGTAGACGGACTCTACTGGCTTCGCACGACGCAGCGATCGGCCAATGCGACATCACTCAGCAACGCTGTTGATCTACATGCGCGAATGGGCCATGCTCCAGTCGACGTGCTTCGCAGGATGGTGACAAGCCACATGATCAAGGACGCTCACATCCCTTCCAAGCCGAATGGATCAAGTGTGTGTCGAGGATGCCAAGAAGGGAAGATGGTCCAAAAACCATTCCCGAGCAACCGTGACAAGCGCACCTACAACACCTTCGAGATGCTCCACTTCGACATCTGCGGACCCATGGAAGAAAAATCTCTGGGTGGCAGCAAGTATCTGCTGCTGATCGTGGATGAAGCCAGCGGATGCATGAAGGGTTTTTGTCTGCATTCCAAGTCAGAGAGCGAAGATTGCATCAAGAAGTACATCACGATGATGCAGACGCAGTTCAGCAAGAAGGTCAAGTTTTGTGCGCCACGACGAGCTTGCGAGTTTGCGACGAACTCGCTTCAAGATTTCTACGAAGTCGAAGGCATCGAGCAACAAACCACGGTGCCATACGCACATCAAGCCAATGGAACTGCTGAACGCGCGATTCGAACTATCGTCACGATCGGCCGCAGCATGCTTCACCATGCCAAGTTGCACAAGTGCTTCTGGGCTGAAGCGTCAATGACGGCCGTCTATGTGAAGAACCGTTTGCCGTCACCCAAGATTCCACACAAGACACCGTTCGAGATTGTCTACAATTCTAAGCCAAGTGTCAAGCACATGCGCGTTTTTGGGTGCCAAGCATACATCTTGACCCCGAAGGAGAAACGACTCAAGTGGGATCCCAAGGCCCGGGCTGGATTGTTTTTGGGCTACGAAGAAGTGTCCAAGGCGTATCGAGTTTACGACATCGAAGCGGGGCAGGTGATGATAAGTCGCGATGTCAACTTCGATGAGTCGGCCTTTGGACTGTCGATGCTGATTTCCGATGACGATGTTGATGGCCTGGACTTCGAATCGATCGATTTTGATGATGAAGAACCGCGTCCGAGACACTTCAAACAAACAGGAAAGCGCAAGGCCCAACCCAGTCACGACAATGACGACGCAAGCATGCCCCGAGCAGTGCGCCAACGACCTGGATTGGAAGAGTCAAGTGCGCCGGATGACCTCTCTTCACGTCGAGCCAGCGAAGATGAAGAAAGGAAGTCGGAGGAACAACATGACACACCGACTTCCTCCGCGTTTTGGCATGCGAGTGCAAACGCCGTTGAAGCAGCGGTCGATTTTTCGGAGCCGTCGACATTTGAAGAAGCAGTGTCTGGCCCGGACCAAGTACACTGGCGCAAGGCAATTGATGCGGAGCTCGATTCGATGAAGCTTCGCGGTGTCTTTCGTGTGGCCAAGTTACCCAACGGACAAAGCGCCATCGGCACAAAGTGGGTCTTCAAGATCAAGCGCAAGGCGGATGGGTTGATCGAGAAATACAAGGCACGACTTGTGGCCAAGGGTTTTCGCCAAAAGTATGGCATCGACTACACGGAGACGTTCTCGCCCGTGGTCAAGTATGTGACGCTGCGAATGGTCATCGCCATTACCAAGCACTTTGGATGGCCCCTCGACCAGCTCGATGTGGTGACTGCGTTCCTGTATGGAGTGATGAAGGAGAAGGTGTTCTGCGCTGTTCCGGAAGGCGTCAAGATGGAAGGTGATTTCGACTGTCTCGAGCTGATCAAGGCGATCTACGGTCTCAAGCAAGCCTCGCGTGTTTGGAACGAGACCTTCGACGAGTTCATACGCTCGATTGGTTTTCAAGCGTCGGGATTCGATCCATGTCTCTACATCATGACTTCGGAAGGCCATTGTGTTTTTGTGCTGGTCTACGTGGACGATGTCTTGGTGACTGGAAGCTCGCTCGAGATGATTGCGCGCACCAAGAACGACCTCAAGACACGCTTCGAGATGACGGACAGCGGCAAGTGTGCCTTTGTTCTTGGGATCGAGTTATTGGACGGTGAAGATGGCAGCGTGACTATGTGTCAGCGCCGTTATGTCAATGATATCCTCAAGCGCTTTGGAATGGATGAGTGCAAGGCTGTGGCAAGTCCGGTGGACGTCAGCTCTCGACTGGTTCCGAGCAACTCTGCAAGCAAGGTGGATGTCCCATTCCGTGAAGCAGTGGGTGCTTTGATGTATCTGACGACTGCAACGCGACCGGACATCGCCTATGCTGTAAGCTTTGTGTCACGGTTCATGGAGAAACCCCAAGAAGAACACTGGGTTGCAGTCAAGCGCATCTTCCGCTACCTACAAGGCACCAAGATGCATGGAATCTGCTACAAGCCAAGTGCGAAGATCGACTTTCGTGGCTATTCAGATGCAGACTGGGCCGGTGACCTTGCTGATCGCAAATCGACGTCCGGCTACGTCTTCATGCTATTGGGTGCTCCGGTGAGTTGGGGCAGCAAGAAACAGCCAAGTGTGTCACTGTCTACAAGCGAAGCGGAGTACATCGCGCTCAGCCTGGCGATCCAAGAAGGCAAGTGGATCAATCGCTTGCTGTGCGAGATCATGGCGGCTGCAAACGAAGAAGGACCCGAGCTCGTCATCCGTGAAGACAACCAGTCGTGCATCAAGATGACGAAGAATCCGGTCAACCACGGCCGCGCTAAACACATCGACATCAAGTACCGTCACATCCGTGATGAAGTCAAGCGCGGCGAAGTGAAGCTTGAATACTGCGAGACGACGTTGATGTTGGCGGACATCATGACGAAGGGACTTCACGGACCGCGTCACAAGGACTTGACGGCGGCGCTTGGCATCCGTGCGTGTTCGGATTGAGGGGGCGTATTGAGGGTTACCGGTACAATCCGAACCTAGCGCGTAGTTCTTACGAGATAGTTTTTACATCGGTAATTACCTCAGAGATGATTAGACGCGTAGGATGATTGGACGCGTGTAAATCAGGTTGATTAGATGCACCATGTGATTGGATGCAGTCTAGGGTAGGCAGAAGTTAAGACCTATAAATCAATCACTTTCGAATCCTCCCTCAAGTGAGCAAGTGTTCTCTGCTTCGTTCTCTCCGGTCTCTCCGCTTCGTTTTCTCTTCGCCTCGCGCTCAAGTTACAACACGGTTCAATCCGAACCACCTGCTCAGCTTATTGTTTACGACGTAGTTCATCCATAGTTGGTCAGACGAGTAAGATGACGAGAAGCTTCACATAATTTACATGTACACCACATTTAAATTATGTAGTCAGTAGTAAGCCCCGATAATCAATCACTTTCGAATATTTCAACAAGTGAGCAAGTATCTTCTGCTCACGTCGGTCTCTCCGCTCCCTTCGATCCGCTCTCTGCCATGCAAACAGGTTATGAGTCCAAGCGCCATGTCGTCTGCCACCAACGTATCATCCGACGTCTTCATTGATAAGTTCAATGGAGACAACTATGCGACTAGGGGTCGATACGTGCGCGGTGTGTTTTTGACGAAGTCCGTCTGACACGTCGTAAATTGTGAAGCGACTCCGACTTTCACCGACCCGCGAGCGTCCGATGAATACATCAAATCGAGCAACGTCGCATTTGGTATGATGCTGCTACACATAAATGCAAATTACCACCATGTGCTTGACAACTGCGAGGAAGCGTGGGTTGCGTGGACACCTCTGAAGATGCTGTACGGTGGGTTGCAGAAGGCAGGACTCATCTTCCTCAAGCGACAACTTTTCAGCATCAAGACGACTGAAGGTGCAGACGTCACGCACCACTGCAATGAAGTCCTCAACATCTCCTCCAAGCTTAGCGGCATCGGTGCGAAGATGGAAGACGAAGACGTTGCAATCTGTCTGCTGCTCAGTCTTCCGAAGAGCTACGAAAATGTGGTGCTCAACATGGAAATGAGCAGCGCCGAGCTTCGTACCCAAGATGTGGTAAGAGTGCTGATGAATGAGCACGCCAAGCGTCAAGGAGAAAAAAGGACAGCAACGGCGACTACGGTGAAGGCTGAAGATGCAAGCAAGACATTCAGCACCGAGCACTAGCTCTACCAATGCACGTATTGTGGTAAGGTGGGACACACGGTGGATCGTTTCTGGACAAAGCAGGAGAACGAAGGTCGAGGAGCACGACGCGGCGGCAATGGTCGTGGACGCGGGGCTATAACGTTCAGTGGGTAAATAATGATGAAGCCAATGGCTACGATCGAGTGACGTTTGCAGTCTCGTTCAAGTGTGGAGTTTCGACGAGCAAGGACGTGTTTAGGAATGGGGACCGTCGATAGTGGTGCAACGCACCACATTTGCCACGACAAGACCAAGCTCGCAAGTTTGGCAGAGCGCAATGACGGCGAACTCTTGGTGGCTGATGGCAACAAGGTGGCCATCAAGGGTGTGGGAACCATCATGGAAAAGGTGGTTCTGCCTAACGGTGAAAAGCGCGAGATCGAGATCAAGAACGCGTTATGTGTCCCAAGTATAAGCAAGAACCTGCTTTCGATGCCATAGATTAACAGGCATGGCAAGTTCCAAGTCATTTTTGACGGGTCCAAGATGTTTGTGACTCGCAAGAACTCACAGAAAGTGGTGGCGACAGCGGATCTCGTGGATGAACTTCACTGGCTTCGTACAACTCAGCGATCAGCAAATGTGACAACAAGTGGAAACAGTTGTGCTGATCTACATGCGCAAATGGGTCACGCTCCACTCGACGTACTTCGCAAGATGATCACGACCAACGTGATCAAGGATATTATAGTTCCTCTTAAGTCGAATGGAGCAACTGCATGTCGAGGGTGCCAACAAGGGAAAATGGTCCAAAAACCATTCCCAAGCAAACGCGACAAGCGCAGCTACGATACGTTTGAGCTACTTCATCTGGACATCTGCGGGCCCATGGAAAACGATTCGCTCGGTGCCAGCAGATATTTGCTACTGATCGTAGACGAAGCCAGTGGATGTATGAAGGGCTTGTCTTTTCAAGTGAAGTCCGAGAGTGAAGACTACATCCGTAAGTACATCACTATGGTACAAACGCAGTTCAGTAAGAAGGTCAAGTTTGTGCGACACGACGGAGCTTGCGAGCTCGCAACCAACTCAATTCGTATTTTCATCGAAGACGAAGGCATTGAACAGCAGACAACAGTTTCATGTACACGTCAAACCGACGGAACAGCAGAGCGTGCCATTAGGACTATCGTCACGATCGGCGGCAGCATGCTTCATCATGCCAATGTGGCAAAGTCACTACTTAAATTTTGTACGAGGATCGGTGACCACACCTTTAAAGCGCCGCTTACTGGTGGAAAAGGAGGCCATGAGACTCGGCGATCCAATACGGAGGTGGAAGATGATCTTAACGGGATCGGCGAACCGACCCAACTGTCGTTAGACTGATGGGTATGGATCGACCTGGGACGGAGCGATCTAGAACGATTTACATGGAGCAATCTGGGACAAGGATCTGGGACCGGGTGATGGGATATGAATCGGCAAAGAAGGTGCAACACCATACGGATCGGTGATACTCTTTACCGATCCTAAATTGGGAGTACTGATTTTGGTTAATTATACACCGATCTGGAAGTTTTGCATACTCAGGGGAGTCAAGGAAACCGATGTCGAGACGTATGAATGAAGTTGTCGATTGGATAACACTGGAGGATGATATTGAAGCACGTATGAGGAGATGAAAAAGTGTTAATTGTCGATTTAGACCGGATCGACCTCCAACATCTCGATATTGGATGACAGATCGGTCATGTTCCACACTGATCATGAATATATGGTTGATGAAGATACTGGATCATGTGGAATATACTTGATAGAGGTAACTAAGTGATGTCAAGAAGTTTCATGCCGAAAGAGCCAGTGGAAGCTGTCCGAATTGACGTCGCAAAGTGAATTTGGACACATTCGGCATTTTGGGTCATATATTGGGTACTTGGGTGCCAAGAATGGGTATTTGGTACCATATATGAGATTTTGGTCCATTGGGTTCTCTAGGTACGATATCGGGGATATTGGCGCTATCATTGGAGTACAGGGCACGAGATTTCGACACGTGGCAAGGGGGCGAACCATATTCAAGGCGATATCGGTTTGAAGAGTGACCTATAGTTAAGAATAAGCTTAAGGGTAGGTTGGATAGTAATTTGGTTGGTTAATAGACAGACTTGAACTCTACTTCTTCTGCTCACGACGCACGTTATCCTCCCCTCTTCTCCAGGCAAGATTGATTTGGCTTCCCCGGCGGGTTAAGGCACGCGTGTTACAGGGACACAGAAGACCGATCTTGGATTGTTGGCCAAGATCGAGAAGAGCGATCCCGGGATATCTGGCCCGGATCGATCAAGTACTCACACTCAACTCAACTGCTAGGGCAGCAGCACACAACGGAAAAGGAAAAGGAATTTGGACACAGGATCGCGAGACGGCTCAAGTGGTCAGAAGATCTGGACAAGGCGTTCAAGACAAGACCGAGCAGGATCGAAGCGATCCCCTGGACAGATCGGCACGTATCATTTTGGCGAAACAAGACACCGATCTACCCAAATTGCGCACTTCCGGCAAGATCGGCCGATCCCAAGACCAGATCGGACCGATCCCAAGGCAAGATCGATGCAGCACTTTTATTTGCTGAGTGAAGATTTCCGCACAGCAAAGACCCCGATCTCGAAGACAAATCAAGATCGGTGCGATCCAAGATCGGGATCGCAGAACCCCCGTTCGTGGTGTGAAGATTTCCGCACCGGAAGCGAACCCTCAACCCAACCTCTCAGCGAGATCGACATCTCCCAAGACCGTTACGAAGAGCTCAAGCCAGCCCAACCGACGGGTACACAAGGTGAGCACAAGGTCATACAACAAGGCACGGATCGGAGTACCCCCTCCGTGAGTCGGCAAGTCTGGGCAAGTGGAAGATCGACACTCATACAAGCAATTTTGTGAGATCGACTTCACCACAATGGTGCGCGTGCCCGGATCTTCTGAGGCCTCTGGATTTCACCGTGAGTCCACTGGCGAAGATGTCAAGATTAAGCAAGAACCTGGGATTGAAGTGTCAGCGACAAAGGGATCGACGCAGACACGCAGAAGCACAAGATCCTCAGATCATCAGAGTTTTGGGAGGGGCTCTGATGAAATGAAAATGAAAGAGGAAGATCGAGAGATCGATCTGGAAGATAAACCTCAATTCCCTCCTAGGGTCCCTTCGGGGGCCACCGCAGATCGCTCTGCAAAGAGCGATCTGCTGGATGAAAATCCAATGGTGAAAACCAAATCGGCGAAAGCCAAACCCTATATCTTAGTCGATAGATCGCCCGACCTCAAGCCGAAGAGCACAATCGCGAGATCGACCACATCAGAACGATCCGCGACGAGATCGATGGGATCAGATGTCAAAGATCGTTAGATCGGCCGAACCGTGCAACCATAGATCGGAGCCAAAGAGGAATACGATGAAACACCAGATAAGATCGCGATGCCAAAGACGGAATATAACCCAGTAAAGATCGCGTCCAGGGAGAAGGAGACGACGGGTGAAGCGCGGGAACGTGCAAAATGGCAGTACTATTATGGCCAGTTGAAGACGCTGCTCAAGACGGAACCAGTGTTCAAGATATTAAGGACCAAGGTGATTGGTCCTCTGGATAAGCCGATCTCGGTCCCACTCACGGGACCAACAAAGTCGACGAGATCAATTTGATTTTGCAGATGTTGGACGACATGGGTATCTGCCCTGACGCTTTTGATGGAGATGAACTGCTGAGTTGCAGCTTGGAACAGTTGAAGGACGCGGCGAATGAGTTTGTAGAGATCATGATAATGCTGGTGGGCAAAGCGAATACTCCTGAAGACAAGATCGGGACGCCCTCGGGCTCGCTCCGTAAACACCCCGCGGGATCGCCCCGCTACGCCTCGGATGACCCCGAGAGCTAGTCAGATGGATCCATCAGCATTCGTCAGATGTCTCTAGGACCATCGGGTGGAAGGTTCTTAAAGGACAAGATCGGACAAGCCAAGATCGACGCCTATAAGGGACAAGCCAAGAGCAACATGCCGCAGAGATCGGCCAGTACCCGCACTGGGCTGGAGGATCAAGAAGAGGGCGATCTAAGTCGGTACTTCAATTCAGCCATGAAGAAGTATGAGGCGGATCAACGTACAGCTCAGCGAATGAATCGACAGCCAAACCGCTACCCAGATCGATGTACTTTGCTCCAACCTTCACACGAAAGCCTTGACATGCCGGATGTGGAGATGGAGTCGGTGGGGTCGGACATTTACCAACATATCCATGAGGGGGCGGAATACGACCCGGATGATCTATGGATGCCCGAACCACGGCGGCCTCATGTAGCCGCGACCGGTGCGACTACCGGAGGGGGAAGCATCACGCAGAGGATCAGAATCTCAGCGATTTCTGAGCTGAAAGAATTCTCAGGGAAGGATCGGGAAGAAGACAAAGCACGAAACTGGATCGGCAAAGTGAAATTAGCGTTTATCCGGGACCAAGCACCGGACGAGGAGAGATGTCTGGTCTTCGGTGATCTCATGGTGGGCCCAGCCCGCTACTGGTACCGACAGCTGAGTGGATCGACGAGATTCAATTGGAAAGAATTGATGAACAGTTTTCTTGTGGAGTATGCGGGACACGGGATGTCCGCGAGCAGACAGTACTACCATGCAAAGAAACGATCGGAGGAAGATCCTTTACAGTACCTGTATCGGCTTAATGTGATGGGAATGCAGGCGAAGATACCGGTGATTAATGGATTGCCAGCTGCGCGCAAGGAACATGTCAATCATTTCATTGACACCTTGGACGACCCCGATCTGTCCAATCAATTGCTACTGCTGAATGTAGAAGACGCGGAGGCCATGCAAAAGACACTGCACGGATATCAACAAGGGAGATCGCGTCAAGGGAAAGTGATGATGGGATCGTCCAAATTCAGGCAGAAGGGAACTCAGGGTCCAGCGCTGTCTAAGCCTGCACGAGCGGTAAGGATGGTCCGTACCGAGGACGTCTGCAGCGAGTCAGGATCGGACACCTGCGGATCGGATTTGGAAGATCGATTGAAATCGATCCATGTGGCTGCTACTGCGGATCGCCGTTCATCTCCCAATGACGTTGCAGTAAACGCGAGATCGGTCGACCCGAACACTCGTCAAGACTATCAAGATCGCAATATGCCATTGAATCCGTGTACTCATTGCGGATCGACCAAGCATGGAGATCCCGGTTGCTGGAAGCGGCTCACTTGACAGAAGTGTGGGCGTAAAGGACACCCCTCTGACAATTGTTTTTTCGTGTGTCGTGCTTGCGGTGAGATGCACGACCCGGGGAAGTGTCCCATGGAGGAGTTCTACAACATGATCCGTCAGTGGTACGTCCCGAATAAGCATGCGGGGATGCGACCAGAGAAGGCCGAGAAGATGTTAAACTAGGACGCTCGCCAGGTTTGAATCTGGTACGAGCCGAGCGTTCTGGGCTCTGCATTATTGCATACGTGGAAAAAAAGAAGACAGATCGCGAGAGTAAGCAGGATATTGACGTGGAAACAAAAATATCTCGTTCGAAGTTAAAACGTGTCGCTTCCGTGTCCCATCTGAAGCGGATCGATGAGTACTCACGATCTGAACCAGCTATGGAGATCGAGCTCGCTTATGGTGAATCTCGCGGATACTGGAAACATTATTCACCCGGGAAGTGGTTCAAACAAGCGAAAGCCGTTGGCAAGATCAACAACGTAAAAGCTACTCTGTTATTTGATTCTGGTGCTGAAGTGTCGATCATTGACACCACCTTTGCTCGTGAGGTCGGTTGCAATATTGACGAAAGTCAACGACAAGAATGTATCGGGATTGGAGAAACTCCGTACATGACGGTAGGACGTACCAAGATCAAGGTGACCCTCGCGGGATCGCTGGTATACTATTTCAATGTATGGGTAGGCGATCTGGCAGGGCAAGAAGCGATTCTGGGTATGGATTTTATGGTGCCTGCTGGAGTGCGGCTCGATCTAGCGGATGGCGCGCTATGTCTACCAGAAGAAATCCGCATTCATCTCGCAGGACGTCGCCCCGCGTACGGATCGAAGATACAACATATAACGGCGAAGGACCAACACGTGGTGATCCCGGTCGGAGAGTCAAGGGAAGTGAAGATCGGGATCGGAGGGGCTAAGATGAAGTTGTGGGTCGCTAGAGGACTAGATTGGGTCCCCACTGTGATCTCGGGGTGGGGGTAAGACGAAATACCTGCAGATGACCAACATTGGCGACCGTGAGATCATACTGCCCACCCACACTATATTAGGCATGTGGGTCGAAGGCGATATGGTACCGCGAGCCCAAGGTTTGGTGACAGTCGGGTCGGGGAAGTACAAGGAATGGCAAACTCTGGCATATGAGGCTACGACGGATCGAGTGAACGAACTCCCGAAAGAACCGATCGGACCATTGGTAGATCGTCCTACGTATGCCGCTCCCAAACGCATCTTGAAACGTCCGTCTGATGCGTTACAGAACCTTTCTCCGGCGATCTCCACGGTAACGCCGCAAGCTAACGATGACGATTCGCAAAAGGCATATGCTGTAGTTGCGAGGGAAGTAACGGTCAGGGGAGCCGAACTATCGCGGATGGAGAACGGTCATGAGATCGGCACCCAACATGCAACGAAGGGAGACCGCGACACCGGGCAAGAAGGGCTACGTGACAGATCGCCTCTACCGAAGGCTGAGCCGACTGACCGACTGTTGAAATTGGGCCAGCCGGAAAAGACGAAGGAGCCTAAAGAAGAAATAATGCTAAATACTGAAGACGTCGAGATTGCAGAAATACCAGTTTATCACCACGAGAGCGGAGAATTGTTTGCGGAAGATATCGAGCAGCATCTGGCGGTGTTACCAGAGATGTCGGCGACTACGGAAGAAGTTACAATTGAGGACATTCAGATCGGTGATCCCGATGTGCCTCTCACCACAGATCAACAACGGCTCAGATCGCTGATCTGGAAGAGCCGTCACCTCCTCATGGGTAAAGGTAATGCTCTACCACCAGCAGCACGAGGCGCGATCTGTGATATTGATGTCGGTGGGGCAGCACCGATAGCACAAAGAGTGCGTCCGGTCGCACCCAAATATCGGGAGAAGCTGTCAGATCTCATCAAAGGACTATTAGCAGCCAAAATCGTTCAGCCATCCACGTCACCTTGGGCGTCTCCGATAGTGGTGATCATCAAGAAGAACGGAGTGGATATTCGCCTTTGCATTGATTATCGAAGAGTTAACCAGCTGACGCGTCTGATGGTTTATCCCATGCCGTTGATCAGCGATCTGTTGGAAGATCTGGATAAAGCTCTATGGTACTGTTCGCTAGACATGGCTAGTGGATTTTGGGTCGTCGAAATGACCGAACGAGCAAAACTGATCTCAGCGTTTGTCACACCGTTTGGCTTGTTCGAGTGGCTGCGAATGCCTTTTGGGCTTAAGAACGCGCCCCAGATCTACCAACGTCTGGTGGACAATGCGTTGTATGGATATCTCAAGATCGGCCAGAGATCAGCTTCTGATGGCCCGATCGACGTGTTCAAAGATGGAGAACCTGAGACAGATCGACGACCGTCTATACTGGGACGCCGATCTTACATTGACGATATTCTCATACCAGCCACGTCATGGGGATCTTTGTACACAAAAGTAGAACGGTTGCTGGAGGCATGTGATAAGTGGAATCTGTCTATCAGCCTCACGAAGAGCTTTTGGGGGTGCCGTAAGGTCGATTATTTGGGACATCGAGTGTCGATGGATGGTCTGGAGGCTCAGCCCAAGAACCTAGAGTCGTTGGTTAACATCCCGTTTCCTAGCACGCTACGAGCTATGCAATCCTTTCTCGGGAGCTTGAACTACTACCGTCGCTTCATTGAGGATTTCGCGGTGTATGCCGCGGTGTTGTATGAGTTAAGAGAATCGGATTTCTTCGAGATCGGCCGATCTCAGCTTGCAGCAGGAGACGAATGCTCCAACGAGGGTCGATGGACGGAAGCCAAGGTTGCTTTCACTATGCTAAAAGCTAAGATAGTACTACAGCTCCCATGCTCAAGCATTTCGACCCAGATCGGTCCCCCGTAATCGTGGTCTACGCTAGCAAGTGGGCTGTCTCAGCGGCCCTGATACAGGAGTACGATGGCGTGTACCATCCGGTGACGTTTACTAGCCGCACTTTAAAGCCTAATGAGCTTAACTACGGAATGGTAGAAAAAGAAGTGCTGGCGCTACTTCGTGTGTTGGATGTATGCTATACTACGCTTGCCTCGCGGGAGATCACTGTACTGACCCGACATTCTACGTTAGCCTGGTTGATGCAGTCTCGAGGGCTCAACGGGAGATTAGGACGGTGGGCTGCTTTGTTGTCAAATTGGACTATGGAGGTGAAGAAATGTGAAAGAGGAGAGGAAGAGATCCTGGGCATGTTAGCAGCGAGTATCACTCCGAGAGGAGAGGTGGAAGAGATGCTGATTGCGATCTCCCCACGAAAAGACTGTCGACTCAAAATATCGATGCCTCCTCCAACGGTGGAAACAGATGAGGAGTTGCTGGTGGCCAGTTTCGATGGATCGGCTAGGATAAAAAGAAAGGAGGGTCGTTCAGTGCCGTGATATGGAAGTTACCCGAATGGACGATCGTGGCGGCCGAATCGAGATATGTTCACGATCTGACTGTGAATGAAGCTGAGTATAATGGCTTGCTACTGTGCTTTGAGTTACTCGCCGGTCTGGATAGGGGGCGAGTAATACTGTGTGGAGATTCCAGTCTGGTGATTCGACAGATGCGCGGTGAGATCGACTGCAAGGCACCGGGCCTTCAGCTTCTGAGACACAAAGCGTTGGAGAAGCTGCAGTCATGGCCTAGTCACGAGTTTCTGCATATGAAGCGAGAGTGGAATCAGAGCGCAGATCGACTAGCCAGCACAGCATTGCAGAGCGAAAAGGGAAGAACGGTTGTAGCTGAAGAGGATCGGCAAGATCTGATGACTCTGAACCGTCTCGATGAATTGTTGAAGCCCAAGCAAGATGGTCAGCTAGCTCGGGTAACTGCGATCGCGAGATCAGCCAGGAGGATACGTCATGAACCTGAAGTGATACAGGAGGAGATAGTACAGAGGATCAGGATTCAACGAATTGTCCAAGCTCAAGATGAAGAGCGTTGGATTGTCAATCTCAAGACATATCTAAGTGGCGATGTATCAAACTTGGATGCGGTAGAAGTGAAGATGTGCGCCAAACTGGCGCCGGAATACGAGATCGATGAGAACAATCTGCTATTTTTTTGCCCCATGGCGAAAAGAGAGTCGGAAGATCGCGATGGTTTGATGCGGTTGGTGATCCCTGAGACGTTGCAGCAGGATTTTTGCATCACTATCACACGAGTCTGGAAGGAGGCCATCAGGGTATTGGCCGAACCTATCAGAGGATCAGATCGCGATTTCATTGGAGAGGACTGTATCGGAGCGTTCAACGATATGTGGGCGAATGTACCGACTGTGAGACCGGGAAAGGAAACCCGATGATTCATGGGAAATCCCCGGGCAATCTACACGCAACCTATCCATTCCAGATCATCGCCATGGATCATATACCGTCGTTGCCCAAGTCCATCAAGGGGAACACCGAACTGCTCATTTGGGTCGACCTTTTCTCGGGATATGTGATTGCAAAGGCTAGCTCCTCTCGGACGGCACAAACAATAGCGGAGAATTACGAAGAATGTGTGTTTCGACGCTTCGGAGCTAGCGAGGCTATCAGGCACGATCGAGAACCGGGATTTATGTCCGACTTCTTTCGAGCCTTCAGTCGGATCGTAGGACAAAAACAGCGTGCTACTATGGCTTACAGGCCACAAGCAAATGGAACAGCCGAACGAATGGTGCAAACCCTGACACATTCGCTCAAGATGTACGTGGCTGAAGTTGACCAGCGAGACTGGGATGAGTATGCTGAGCGGCTCACATTTGCCATTAACACTGCACAAGATCGGATCCGGGGGATACCCCATTTTATCTGATTCATGGGTGGGACCCGCGATCGACTTTGGAGGCTACGCTACCAGTGGGGAATACGGGGACACGAGATCGCGATCCAAAGAGGTGGAGATACAAAATCCAAAGACAATACCTGCGAGCCCGATCTGCAGTGAACGATCGTTTACAAGCCGCGATCCAGGAGCGAGCGGATCGACACAACGAAGATCTGGAACCACACGAGATCGAAGTAGGAGCGCAAGTTTGGCTATACCTGGACCGAGTTAAAGAGGGATATGCGAAGAAGCTAGCGCACATGTGGCATGGGCCATTCCGAGTTGCGGACGTATGTGGAGATCATGCTGTAAAATTGGAGATCGCTGGAACCCCATATCGGTTATTTCCGATTGTACATATATCGAAGCTAAAAAGGTAAAGACGTTCCCTGAACGCCCGAAGGATCAGCTTACGATAGAGGGATCAGATCGCTTGGATTTCGATGAAGCTCTGCTGCCGGAAGACAGTTGGGATGGCGATCTTGAAGAAGGGGAATACGAAGTGGAGGCAATATTGGACGTGCAATCTGGTAGAAAAACCCGTTATGGGCGAGTACACCGGCAGTTTCTGGTGAAGTGGAAGGGATATCCCGATCTAAGTTGGGTGGACGAGGCCGATCTACGTTGTGGGGCGATCTTGCAAGAGTTTGAGCGGAACCGAGTGAGTCGAAACCGTTTCGACGTAATGCAGTCTCATGAAGGCAAGTCGGACGAACCTTAACAGTTCGAACAAGTATGCGGGAGGTAGCATATGCGGATGTAGGGGTTGAAAGATGTGCTAGACGGTAGCACATGCTGGTGGATGAGGTTTTTGTATGTGAGTATGGAGATAGTCAAGTGAATTACCTTCCTGAATGATGTGGAGCGAGGAGGATCGAGATCGTGGAAGTTGCAAAGAATGGAAGTACCAAAAAAGAAGATGATTGAATGACTTACACGATTATGAAAGACGATCGGGCTTGGATATCGATCTTGGACTAAGACGATGGAGCAGGTTTGAACTTGTCCTGCAGACGAGGGATCTGCGATCCGGGATGATCCCAATAGGCGTTACGGAACTGGTTGCGCCAAGGATCCTCTTGGTCTGCCATGTCCAACGCCTCTAGCAAGTCAGCTGGGTCGTTAGAGTGTCCTAACCCTGGATACCAAACTCGGTCTTCATGTGGGCGCGGATAGTGGAGGAAGAAGGGATCTAGCAAGATGTCGAGATCACAGTGGCCAGCGATCATGCCGCTGAGTATCATCTTCAAGAAGTTCTTCCAACGCGCTCCAAAGCGAGAACGGCGTTGTTTTCGTTGGCGCCAGAATGTCTGCATGAACCGTTCAGATCGCCTTTGAGCCGGAGGAATCGGGAAAGCATGAGTAGATTCCCACAGAGCTTGTCGATGAGTGGACTCAAGCTCCAGGTACCGATGACTCATATCACGATACCATCCAGTCATGGTGAATGATATCGGGTTCACTGGGACTATGATATTATCCCAAGGGGCTAAAGCATAAAGAGCCTCGATGTGTTGCCGCGAGATCAGCCCAGAAGCCCAAGTCCCCGTAGGCGGAGCTCGTCCATGATTGTAGAAGGGAAACAGAAAATTCCTGGGTTTGGAGTAGTGGTGAAACAACAGCTCAATGGTCATGGTCCTCACGCAAACCATCGCGATCCGCGAAACGGACCATGGAGCGATCTCGGAAGCTACCCGTCGGGAGGGCGCCAGATAGTTGGGAATCCACCGATCCCGTGGTTGCTGGAGTGGCGGAAGATTGTCGAAGTCCACGGAAGAGAAAACTCTGTTAGCCACTTGGCGTGCCGGAAGGGTGATGCTGTTTTCGCTATCGGACGAATGGCGATCCGAAAGCGCAGTAGACTCCGGAGGCGGACTAACAGAGCCAGTCTCGCTGTGTGTCTCCCCTGTTGGCGATACCTCCACGTCTTCTACGCCGCCATCATCTTGAATTTCGACTACGGGGACAGCCGCGACCGGAGTGGATGGGTACGAAAGATAACGAGGCTCCGGAACGTCTGGAGAAGGCGAACGCAACAGTGCTTGAGCCAACGCAGTAGCTGCGGGAGAAGCGGGAACAACCCGAGCGGCCGGAGAGGGGTTCGGGGTCGAAGATCGGGCATCCGATCTAGGTTGACGACGAGAGGCCGATCTCGATTGGGATAATGCAGCACGAGTCAAATCATCCGAGCTAGAATCCGACTCGGTCAGCTCCTCACTTCCCGATCCAGTCCCAGAAGCCGCGGACGAAAGCGGAGAACAAGAAGAATTGGGTGGAGGCTCGGGTGGGGCCAATCCGGGAAGTTTGTTTAAAGGTATTGAAGGGTTCAACGACAATAGCCGGGAAGCCACACGGGCGGTGGAAGAATCACTGGATTGTGACCTTGGTTGAATACGCCGACGCTTGGCAGGCGGGCCGGACGATCTCGATCTGGACCTACGGGCAAGCGATCTCGATCCCGGGGTAGTGGGAGCAGGGGGCGATCCGACCGGAGTAGCACTCTTAGGCGTCGATCGAGCGATCAACGCAGACGACCGGGATCCGAGTATAGCACTGTTCAGTGTGTCGAGGAGAGCTCGGTGTTCAGCTATAGCCTGATCCCGATCATGCTCCACCACCTGCAACTGGTCGTATATCTCGAGGTGTTCCGCAAGCTGACGACGTAGGTTGGCGTTCTCCGCCTGCGAAAGTGCCAACTGACCCTCTAGGGGAGTCAAACCATCCACTTGTTGCATGAGATCGCTGATCGAAGACAGTCCATCTGCGATCTCCTCCTGAGACTGAGCCAATTGCTCCTTCAAGTGCAAAAAATCTATGTGAAGGAAGGATTTGTCCATGGTCAGCTGATCACGCTGCTGTCGGAGAGAGTTGAGTTCGGCTTGGAGCGAATGAAGCTGAGCCCTCAAAGCATCCACCTGTCGTTCCAAGTTCCCCTGAGCCTCGTCGTTGGCACATATCAAAGTGCGTAGCCGACGAATCTCCTCCGATTGATCTCGATATGTCCGCAGAGCTCGATGGCAATCACTCAAAGAATGCACTGCGTCGACGTAGCGGCCCTGCATCCAGTCATATCGAAGCTGGACGAAGGAGACAAAAGGAGCGGCTGATCTGTATAGCGAATCAAGCTCGTCTTGTAAGCGATCCCCCCGGACGACGGCATCTCGGTAGGATTGCTGGAGCGCATGAATGGTGTCGGCTTGGCTGCAGAAGGTAGCCTCTCGATCCCACAAATACGAGATCGTGGCCATCGTGAGACGAACGTCGTCGGCAGAGACTCTGGGAACGAAGTCGGTGACGCCCACAGCTGGAGCAGACCTTTCACGAGATTCATTAGCGGCCGGGATGTCGGATCTGGACGCATCTGGGGCCGCCGGAGGAGTGGGAAGCGGGAATGGCTCGGAGGAACGATCTGATAATTCCGCGGCGGTCGAGAGTGATCCGACCGATCTGGGATTACTGAGAGACTCATGTTGATCTGGGACGATAGGAGCATACCACCCGCGATCTGGCGATCTAGATGGCGAGTCTCGGGATGGAGACGAGGGTCTGGTCGGCTGTCGATCTGGCGATCCTGTGGGGATTGTGGGCGATCCGGTTGGGCCTAGATGGCGCGGAGACCCAGGCCGATCGGGGACCGCTGGGGTGTGTCCTCCGAGATCGGGCGATCCGGGCGACAGGTCGCGATCCGGAGACAGAAACATGGTGGGTCCTTCTGATGAGATCAGCGAGGTGGGTGGATGCGTCGGAGAGGCCATGAGACGGACTTGAGTGCTTGGAACGAAGTTGATGAGTGACTGTACTGAGGTCAATTGCTGTACAAAAGACTTCAGTACAGGGGGCGGTTGTGGCAAAGTCACTACTCAAATTTTGTACGAGGATCGGTGGCCACACCTTTAAAGCGCCGCTTACTGGTGGAAAAGGAGGCCATGAGACTCGGCGATCCAATACGGAGGTGGAAGATGATCTTAACGGGATCGGCGAACCGATCCAACTGTCGTTAGACTAATGGGTATGGATCGACCTGGGACGGAGCGATCTGGAACGATTTACATGGAACAATCTGGGACAAGGATCTGGGACCGGGTGATGGGATATGACTCTGCGACGAAGGTGTAACATCTTGCAGAATGTTATGGGGCGATCTGGAACCAGACGTCGGGATGAAGTCATACAGCTCATTGGAATGCCGGTCAAGAAGAAGTATACGTACATTGAAGCAGGCTAAGATCAGATCGCAGATCGACATGTTGTGGCAACGGTTTGTTGGAGAATTGACACATCTGGGACAAGGTGACTCCCCAAAGTGCATCTGGGACCAGGTGGTACGGGTCGGTGAATCGGCAAAGAAGGTGCAACACCATACGGATCGGTGATACTCTTTACCGATCCTAAATTGGGAGTACTGATTTTGGTTAATTATACACCGATCTGGAAGTTTTTGCATACTCAGGAGAGTCAAGGAAACCGATGTCGAGACGTATGAATGAAGTGGTC